AGAGAGAGAGAGAGAGAGAGAGAGAGAGAGAGAGAGAGAGAGAGAGAGAAAGAGAGAGAGAGAGATGCACACACACCACTCAAAGAGATGACTTAATGACATGCTATACCCACCGCTACCTCAGCCTCGACGTGAAGACGCAAGCGTGAGCCAGGGCTTGCCGTACCTACGCTGCGATCCTCTCTGGCTGGCCAGGGCTGCGCTCGAGCACCAGCAAGATCTTGGCTGCGCTCCATCGATGCCTGGCCTGTGAGCGCATAAGCTTGAGAGGACTTGCCACCATTCCTCCTCTTCGCTTCCGTGACCTCTGCCAGGCCCCACCAACAAGCTCGGGATTGGCATCCGCCTCATCCCCGGAGGGCGAGGAGGGCCCGGCACGACGAGAAATAGAATGGCTCTGCGACCCGCGCGGGCAATGCTCTCTCTCGTACGGCAGAAAGACGGCGCCCGCGCACGCCTGTGGAGCCTGCTGCGCCCGTTGCGCAGCCCTGGTGGATTCAGCACTCGGCGCACCGACGGCAAGCTCAGAGAGCTGTGCGTGGCCCGCGGCAGCGAGAACGGCTGGATGCTGGCCGCACGCGATGCTGCGCACCCGTGCGCCGGCGGCGCCTGACCATCGAGCCGGCCCCGACGCCGGACGGCCGGAGTCGCGGCGGCTTTGTCCCGCGGAGAGGAGGCGCCGTCTTGGTGCGCGTTCCCACGCCAACAGCGGCACCGCCGCACAGCGCACCGGCAGATCGCCGCGCGCCACCGTGGCCGGCACTGGCGACTGCTGATGGGCTGCGAGAACGAGGCAGAGGAGAGCGCACCAGCCGAGCGGGTGGAGCCGAACACAGCGGAGGCGGTCGGAGTGTGCCTGGGTATGGATGCCGAGTGGCCCACCGCCGCAGGCGCAGAGAGATTGCGCTGGAGCTGAGCGCTGGCCTCCGACTCCGGACGCCGCGCAAGAGCGGGGACCACGCGCCGCGGCGACCTGCAGCGGCTCGCGCACGACGTGCAGCGGAAACTTTTGGCCCGTCATCCACGCTCCGGACGGCGGCGGCGCTGCCGGCAGCGCTGCAGCAGCCACGAGCATCTCGCTCGCTCCGGCGCCGGCGCTGGGCAGCCGAGCTCCAGCAGCAGCACGGCGTGCAGCACGGCACAGCATGCTCAGTGTCGGCATCAACGCGGCCTCTCTCCGCCTTGACACGTTCGCGGCTGCCGCTGCGGGCTGCCTTTGCGCTGGCACACCCCACGGCGAAAGAGCACGCGCAGAGCGGCCGGGGTGCCGAGAGCAAGGACAGGTCCAATCTGGATAGGTGCGTCCATGGTACGCTAGTCGCCAGCACGAGCTTCGGGTCTCGCCCTCCCACATCCCAGCCGCACGGCCGGCAGTGCCGCACGCCGCAGGCCGTGCAACGCCAGGCCCCCGACGGCCCAAGACTCGGGACCCACGCGACGCTCTCGCGATGCGCACAAACACATGGCACGGGCCTAAGGCGTGGCTACCCGCTGCACCCTGAGCGCGCCTGCCCCCCGACCCGCATTCCCGGCACCGGTGTCTTTACGTTCGCTCAACGCGGTCCGGGCAGCCGGGTCAGAGAGAAGAAGGGTACTCGGCATCCAGGGTCTGCAGAACCGTCGCTGTGCGGAAAAGGGCCGCCGGCGGACCGCCAAGATTGAGCAGCAGGCGCGGCGTCGGAAGCGATCGTTGATGGCTGCGGCGTCCAACGCCCGAGGCGCTCATTGAGCGAGCTCATTCACCATCCCGGCCTCTTTCTCCGCGCCGAATATGCACAGGGTTGTGCACCCGGGAGCGCTAGGCCGCTCTCTAGCTCGTAGCGCTCTCTGCTGCCTCACACGTGCGAGCGAGTGGGCAGAAGAGGACGCAGCAGCAGCAGCGGCAGCATGCAGGATGCTGCACCACACGCTACAGCAGCTGCTGCAAGCCTGAGGCACCCGCTTTTGCTGCCCTGCAGCCGCTGCCGAGTCGGCAAAGTTCGGCGCCGTCGCCGAGCCCTTGTCTTCATGCGACCAGGTGCGATCCCGGAGCACGTCTGCCGCAGTCGTATTCGCGGCAAGTGGGAATGCCATGCTCGCCGCAGCGTGATGTGCCTTTGGAAGACGCATTCAGTGCTTCCGCTTGTCATGAGCGCGCCACCGTCGGGAGCGTGTGCCAAGCTGCCGCTGGCAAGGCAGGCCCGCGTTCGGGCGCAGGAGATCTCCCAAGTTGCTCTTTGCCGTGCTGCTTCTCACATGCAGACTCCATGCGAGGCACGATCTGGGCCTCGCCTCCTGCTCGCCATGCGCCCTTGCCTGGGGTGCGGGGTCTTGCGGCGCCTGCACCGCAGCCGCGATATGTGCCGCTCGCTAGCCCCGAGGCCGCTGAGGCATGCCGAGGCTGGCGCATGTGCCCCAGAACGCAGCGCAGACGAGCAAGGCACCGCGGCGCAAGTTGGCGCGCCCGAGAAGGAGTCTTGCCATGCACATGCGCATGCGCACGCTACCGCATCGCCCATGTACGACGGCGCACCCTGACGACATGGAGGCACGAGGCAGCGTCTGCGGCCAACGCTACACCACAGCGGCGACGGTCCCTCCGCGTCGTTCTCGCTTTGCGGGCCTGACTCTCTCGCCCTTCCCTCGACGTGGGCGTGCTCGCAGAGACAGTCGAGGCCGCCGCGCGGAGCAGTGCCAAAGCCGAGTGTCCCGATGTGTGGCGCCGCGGCGAGGAGCAGCGCCGCCGCCGCGGCAGGAGACGTCGCGGCATGCGGCCAGAGCGCGAGGGAGCGGCGCCGGACGCGCGCGCGGCGCCGCGCAGCGCCGCAAGGCAGCGGCTCCCGGCCGCGGCGGCCGTGATGCTGGCGCTGCTGCCGCTGCCGCTGCCGCCGCCGCTGCTTCCGCCTCGCCTTCCGAGAAGCGCTCAGGCTGCGGCTGCGTCTGATCTGCGAAGCCGCTGCGCCTCTTCACACACCGACCGCCATCCCCCCATCCTCCGGCACGCAAGCGCAAGAAGCCGCTGCACGCCCTCACCCTCGCCCTTGCACGCCTCTGTCCCGGCCGGCCAGGCCAGCAAGGCAGCTCGGTGGCGTGCCGCAGTGCCTGCCTCTCTCTCGACTCGCGCCTCGGACGCAGCTCGGTCCCCTCCGGCCCTTGTCGGCAAAGACGCAGCGCAGCGTGGAAGCGTGTACACACCCACACATGTCTGCCTGGCGGCTTCGCACGCTCCCTCTCTGACTCCCTCTGCCTCTCTCCCATGCCTCTTGCCGTCTGTGTATAGTCTCGCCCTCTCTCCCCTCTTGTCCGCTCGGCCTTCGCTCTTTCCGCGCGTCCTTGCGCGTCGAGCTTGTTCCTTTGTCTGCCACGTTGCTCGTTCCCTGTACGGCCCGCGTCGTCAATACTCTCGTCACGCCCACTTGCACCTCTTAGACGCACTACACCCTGTCTCGATCCTAGTCTACGTGCGCGGACGGACCCAGCATCCTCATGGCGGGTCCGCCGCACCGTCCCGGCTCCTCACGGCAGGCACCGTACTCCGATTCACGCAGCGACGATGCCAGCACAGACCGCTCTGCGGAGCGAGAGCGTGCGTGTCTTCTCCTTGCGCATCTCAGACCCATCTGCTGACGCATACATGCCACTGCAGTCTCGCCGTTCACGCTCGCGCAAATGATCAGCGATCCGAACAACTCGTTGCTCGCCAGCATGAGCCAGGCCGGGCCTAGCGACGCGCTCTTCTGGCCGCAAGCCGGCTCGATGCCATCCGACGTGCCTCAGTCGAGTGCCGGTGCATTGCAGATGCAAGACGCCGCCCTGTCTCCGACCTCCTCTTCGCACAACGACGCCGTCATCAACGAGCTGCTGATGGGCAGTGGCCTGTACCCTATACCGGGTCACCGGCCGCCCAATGTCGCGACGTACGAGCCGCAGCAGCTGTCGCATCTGCAAGAGCCGCTTCAGATCAACACGAGTGCGCCACCAAGTATGCGATCCGCAATAGCGCCCTTACCAGCAAGGCGGACCAGCGCAAGCGGACCTTCGTCGCTCGTCACTACGCCAACCTCAGCTCGGCCCCAAAGTAGCATTCCGGCATCTGCGTCGCAGGACAACATCGCAGTCGCGGACGACGGCAAGCCTACTCGTCGTGCCATTCTCGCATGTCGCTTCTGTCGCACACGCAAGCTGCGCTGCGATGGAGAAGATCCATGTCGCCAATGCGAGCGCCGTGGCGAGACGTGCGAGTACACGCTTCCACCTGCGGCGAAGCGAAGAGCACAACAGCGCAACGTGGATGCATCGACTACAAGTAGTGCAGTCACAAGTGCGGACGAGGCGAGCGGAAGCAGCAAGCGCCACGACTCGGGCGCCACGAAGGAGAAACATCGCCGTAAGTCACTGAGAAGCGGCATCAGCGACGACGGCGAGGCCGCAAGCCTGCCTGTCGCTGTGCCGTCTGCGTCTTCTGCGAGCGTGGCGGCGCCGTTGAGCATGCGCCCCTCCTTCGATCAGATACGTCAAGAAGCCCGGGCGCAGAGGCGTCGCGCCAGCGATAGCGTCGACGTCGCAGCAGCGGCCGACCCGTCTGCTGCGGTGCCAGCTGCTCTGGCTGCTGGAGAAGGCATCGATGGTGACGCAGCATCGTCACTGCCGTCGATTGCCTCGGGCCCAACAAGCCTGCTGCAGCCTGCACAGGCGAGCGCAGGCGGCTCCATGCCCATTCTGGAGGACATCGACGTGTCGCCGACGATGCCGACGCCTAACTCGCCGCCTCGTCCGCACGCTGGCCATCTCACCGACATCCTCGGCGATCTCGGCGCGCTCGCAGATGCCGTCGATGTCATGACGCTTGGCGCTGTCGAAGCAGATGCGTCGTCGCCGGAAGCAGGCGCGCAGGACGATGCGGTGAGGTCCGCTGCGCAGCGTGCCGACCGCAAGACGTCGCCGCAGCTTGCACGCGCCCCGGGAGCAGGATCGCAGACGGGCTGGTGGGACGAGATACTGAGCGTGTTCCAAGCGCACGGCTCGAGTAGCAGAGCTGCCGCGTGAGTGTTGCTGTGCTGGCTCTTCCGCCACAGGCACGCGCTCATCCTAGGAGAGCAGCACATCCGCTCTTCGCACGTCGCTGTGGCAGTTCTGCAGCGGCAGCATCTCGTGAGTGCGAGGTGTTGTACCGCTCGCTACCGCTCTCACGCGGGATGCTCTTGCAGGCTGGTGTACCTCACACACCCGCCTTCCTTGATGAGCGGCATTCTGTCCGAGGAGCGACGTCGCTGCGTCTATCCCGCGCTCTACTTCGCCATCGCCTCTGTCGGCTGTCTCGTCGATCCCAGTCAGTGAGTATACGCGGTCAGAGCCCGTCTGAGGCCACGGACTCATGTGCTCTACAGCGAAGGGTGGTTCGAGGTCACCCCATCGATCGGCTCTGAACAGCGCGCCCTCTCTCGCGCCCTTGCGGATGCTGCGCACGCCCATCTGCACACGAGCGGTATCGACGATCTAGCACGCGGCATGGAAGCCATCCAGGCCACGTCGGCGCTGGCCCTGCTCGAGGCTCGCGGCTCAGACCGGCAGATTGCCATGCTGCGTTTCCTCGTCGGTCTGCTCTACGCTCTGCAGCTGCCGCAGAAGGTGGCAGCATCGACGAACATGGCGGACCATGCGCCCGTTCCGCCGCCACATCCCGACTTTGCACGCATCGCCCCGCCGCAGCCCGGCTTGACGCTCGAGGCCGAGATTCAGCGAGAGGTGGCCGTGCGCCTCTGCTGGGCACCGAGCAACCAAGGCGTTCGCAACCTGGATCGGCAGCCCGATCGGCCCTTCGTCTGCTCAAACACGCTGCATATCCCACCCAGCACCAGCTGGTCGCCGTCGCTGCTGTACCGCCACCGCGATGCGCTGCCCGAGTCGTACTACAGCAGCCGCTTCCAGGTGCGCGTCGGCGTGTGCATCATGCGCCTCGCCCAGAAGCTGGCGGTGCGTGACGAGCAGATGCCGCACCTGCTCTTCGCATATGGCGAGGGCGCACAGCCGGTTCACGCAGACGTGCTGGAGGAACTCGAGCAGTACGAGTTCCTGCTGGAGGTGAGCAGCGAGCGCACGTTGGAGAGATAGAGACGCTCACCACGACATCCAGGCCATCACCGCGCCTTACCTGACCGACATTCGCCTGGCACACGGCCGGGACATGATCAACGCAGTGAGCTCGGCCGTTGCGATCCCTCGCCTATAGCGCGCGCTCACGCCAGCACCTGCAGATGTGCCTCGCCGGTGTGCGGGTGCGTCTCGCCTGCCACAAAGCGCTCGGCATCTTCCATGCCAGCACCAGCAGGCCCGCCGGCCAGATGCCAGCCACCGTTACCGCCTGGCTTCAGAGCTGGACATTCCGTCTGCGGGAGATCGAGACGGACCGCCTGGCGCTGCTGCGCAGGGCGACCGACGCCACGACGCCCATTGCCAACCTCGCAGAGCTGGGTGAGCGCATTGGCACGCGCCGCACAGGCTCGCGCTCATAGAGGCACCGCACAGACTCCTGGGTGCGCTTGCTCCGTCTCGGCACCGATTTGCATGCCGCCAGCGGCCATCGTGAGTAGCGCTGCCGCCCCAGGCTGTGCGCAATAACGCTGAAGCGCCGCACGCAGACCGCTCCTTTGTGCCCTACCTCCAAGACCTCTCGTCGGCCATCAAGGCACACGAGGCTGCTCGCGCCAAGCTGCCTTCCGGCACGTACGCCAGCCAGAGCGAGGCTGGCATCCTCTCGCGCAGCGCCGTTGAGCGCACCAAGCAGGAGCTTCAGGCGCAGCTCGTCCTCGGTGCCGCCGCCGCCGAGCGGGCCGGCTCATGACCTCACAGCAAGTCTCTCCACTTCTCTCTCACCGCCGCACTCTCTCTGCGCCAGCCCAAAACGAGCAGCCGTCGTCACGCCTTAATGCGCCGCTCACTCAGCCACCGTCTCATGACACCGCCTCATGCGTCACCCTGCTCCCCGTAATATACCGTCACCAGCGCGCCGCACGAGGACCAGGCGTCGTGCCATTGTAGGGTGTGTGTGTGTGTCTCTCTCGCGCGTGCGGCCAAACAGGAATGAGTGCGATGGGGACCTGCCCGTTGGCAGGCGAGTGGGGTGGGGAATGGATGCGGGGATCGGGACGGGACAGATGAAGTGCGAGCGAGAGAGCTTGACGGGGATGAAGGGAAAAACAAACGATGAAGAGCCCGAAGAGAGAGAAGCGGGCACGGCGGCATGGCACGGCAGCATGCTGGGCCCCATCAGGCCAGGTATTGGTACCTGCGCGGAAGAGCGTGAGCGGAAGCAGCGCTCAAGCCACGCTACGAGCACGCACTTGTCTCGCTCGCCCTCCACGCGCTCGAGGTACTGCAGACAAAGGCATCAGCTCTGCAACGCCGGTCGAGATGCGGCAGACGCACCTCCTTGTCGATGAGCTGGTCGATGGCCTTCTTGATGTCGGGCACCTTGGGCTGGAAGCGCGCAGACACCTGCTGCACGACCTCCTGCACGAGGTTGGTGTGCTTGAGCGTCTTGCGCGCCTTCATGATGCTGTGCGGCGGAACGCGGGTCAGCACAGTGGCGCAGAGATGACAACTGGCACGCACCGGACAATGGTGGCCTGCAGCAGCATGCGCCGGTCCTCGTCGACGGTGCGCATCACGTCGCTCGACTCGGCCTTCTGCTCCGACTTGACGGGCACGTTGAGGTTGACGCGCACCTTCTTTGACTTGAAGTCTGTAGAACGGAGTGTGAGCACGCGACTGATGGGAACGGCGCGCATCGCACCCACCCTCGTTGATGTCGTACGAGTCGCCGTCCTGCACGAGCAGCTTGCTCTTGACCAGCGGGCCGAGGGCCGCCTTGAGCGCCGCCTCGTTGAGCCCCGTGGCCTTGTGCAGCTCGGCCATCGTCAGGCTGTCGCTGGCATTGTACTGCAGCAGCACGGCGCTCTGGTACGCGCTCGTCTGCAGGATGAGCTTCTGGCTGAGGTAGTTGGTCTTGAGGTCGTTCTTCGACAGCTGCCACAGCCACGCCAGGCGCCGTCCGCTGTGCTTGGCGCCATAGTAGCGCTCGAAGCGCGTGTACGTCGCCAGCAGCTCGGTGGGAATGACAAACTCCGTCGTCGGCTCGGCGAGCGGCCAGAAGCCGTTTGCGAGGACGAGGGCGTAGAAGTCGACGTCGCCGCCCTTGCTGCTGCCCGCGTCGTCGGCGTTCTTGCCCGACACCTCGCGGAAGCTGTCGTTGAGCTCCTTCGACAGGCCCATGTCGGTGAACATGCGCTGCAGCTTGTTCGTGTACTCGAAGCCGCACGCCTCCTTGAGCTTGGCAATCATGCTTGCCTCGGCGTCGTCGGAGGCAGACGAGAAGTTGACGAGGCGCTTGGCCAGCATCTTGGAGTAGAACTTCTGAAAAACATCCTTGTCCTCGATGTACTTGAACACGACCATCTGCGCATGTGCCCTGTCAGCCGAGCCCCAGCACAAGCCAAGCGGGCCACTCACGACCTGGTTCAGCGCATCCTCCAGCCCCTGCTCCTCGGTGCTCTTGTTGCTCTTCTTCAGCAGCCCGTCGCTGTGCTTTGCGAGCAGCTCGGGGCTCTTGCTGTTGCTCGTGCCCGTCGCCTTGTTGCGGTTCATAAAGTCGCGGCACGCCTTGTCGAGCGCCGCCAGGAAGCCCGCTTCGGAGCGGAACGCCGCCTGCACCATCTCCAGGCTGCTGGCATGCACCGAGAGCAGAGCACTGACGTACGCCGCCGCATCCTGTACTTCCATGCATCAGCTTGTGGCCTCGGCGCTCGGCCAGCGCCACTCACGACTGCATCCGCGCTCTCGCCTGCCACCTTCTCGACTGCCGCCAGGCCCACGCGCTTGACGTGCAGCTCGAACTTCTCTCGCAATGGCTCCAGGCCGTCGGAGATGCGGAAGAGGAGGTTGTACATGCGCCAGAGGTCTGCCCGGCCGAGTCAGATGCGGCGCTGCGAGCCGCCCTCCAGTCTGCACTCACCATCCGTCTTCGCCAGGTCCAGCAGCGACTGGAACTCGTCCCACATCATCTGCGCGTGGCCCCGCACCAGCACGGCGTCGCACGTCTGCACCAGCTGTGATCGCGCGCTTGTCAGCCTCCCTGCCTCGCCATACATCACGCCAACACGACTCACCTGGCGCTTCGTCGTGGCATGCAGATACATCTCCACGCGGCTCTCCTCCTCGCGCAGGCGTGCCTCGGCCTTGCGCATGTAGTCCGTCACGCTGTTCTCCGCAATGAACGTCTCGCTCTCGGCCTTGTAGTAGATCTCGGTGGCCACGAGGAAGGGACGCTCAAACTCATTGCGGTACACGTCCAGGTTTTGCCGCGTGCTGTCCGACTCGTCCAGGCCCAGCGAGACTGGTCGGGGCGTCAGCACGCGCAGTGATGGCCAACCGCACAGACAACGCGCAGCTGGCAGCGCCACAGCTTCAAGCTGTGTAGAACGCTCCTCGACTCTCTCCCGCTACGCTGGTCTCCCTGCCCGCACACTCACCTAATGAGTCCACCACCTTCTTGACCAGGCTCGTCTCGATGGTCTCTCCGTTACGCTGCTTCTCAATCTGCTTCAGCAGCGCCGCCACCAGGCGTCCCTTCTTCTGTACCGCCGCAAACATATGTGTCTTCCACTGCACGAGCGCCAGCTGCAGCACAGGATCCAGCATCAGCCTCGCTGCCCTTGCTCTGCTTGTGTGGAGGTAGACGCAGCAGCGCAACTCACAGTGTACACGACGTGCGTGTCCTTCTTGCCCTCCTCCTTCTCGCGCCGCACCCAGTGACGGTTCAGATACGCAAAGAGACGGTGCACAAAGTTGGCGCCCGTCGTGTAGCGGTCCCACTCTGCGACGTAGTAGCGCAGCAGGGCCTCATCTGTCAGGTCATCCGCACCCTGGCACGGCGAGAGAGGGTGAGCATAGGTGGCACGAGGAGAGAGAGAGTTACGCACAGCTGCGACGGTCCGGAGATGTGAGACAAAGTACTTGCTCAGCCGGTCGTACAGCTCAGCGCCCATCAGATTCGCTCCAGCTGTGCGACGAGCGCGCGGCAGTCAGCAGCGAGCTCAGCGTCGAGCTACAGCAGCACGTCTTGTAAGGCTGAAGCTCCGCGGCTCCACTGCAGTTACTCACCAGCTCGTCCCGAGCTGCCCAGGCTGTCCGAAGGTGCATTCATGCGACTCGAGGTGCAGTGGTTGTAGGCGACGGTGTAGAGCTCCATGTAGCGCTGGTAGCTCATGCCCTCGGTCAGGCGCGTCATCTGCGAGCGAGAATTAGCTCAGGCAAAAGCGAAGGTACAAGGAAGGAGCGCGCGTAAGGGCATCACGATCGACACACCATGATGGACACGCCGCCCTCCAGGTACGCCCATGTTGCCGGCAAGCTGAGCGATGCCGAGCTGTCAGCAGCGAGGCAGACAAGGACATGCGAGCGCTTTGCAGCAAGCAGCACACGCACTCGAACGGCGACGGCAGCTGGACCTTAGCCATGCTGGGCAGACACGCAGCGCCGCGGCGCCGAGGCAGCACGGAGCGTCACGCGACGACGAGACGATGGCTTGTGCGCAGCGCGAGCCTGCGCAGCTGATCTGCGATCGGGCAAGCGGGCGGCGGAGCAGTGTGGCCGAAGGGCACTGCAGGAGCTAGGCGCAGGTCGTGCGAAGAGCCAGGGAGCGTCCGGGAACAGCAGAGCGCGAAGGAAGGGAGATGGTGGTGGAGAGGAGACGGCGATGCGTCAGTCGAGCACGGCGCGCCACGCGCTCGAGCCGGCGGCTGTGGGCGCGGCGATGCGGCGCGGCCTGACGGCGCTGGCGCTGCGCCGCGCGCCGCCGCGTCGTGTGGAGCGGCTCTTGCTGCGTTCTCATCACGTGGACCGTCCTCGTCTGCGCTCCCTCATCACCTGCCCCCGTCTCATCAATGCATAGCAGCAGCACAGACAGGGGGGGCACAGAGGATAACTGGATATAGAAGTACAGGCCGCGCGCGCAGCAGTGGCGCGCGCGCGCGACGAGGGCTGGGGTGAGTATGCAGGCTGGCGTGGTGTGTGTGTGATGATGGAGGGCAGCAGGCATCTAGCATGCGCGGAGGGTGGAGCATCGAGCTGTGGTGCACTGGGCATACGCCGAGGGTGGCGAGCAGATCGTGCGCTGCGTTGGCGGCGCCATCCGAGGCTCAGGCTCAGTGGAGTGGGAATACGGGCGGAGAAAGGGCTCGTGCGACGAGGCAGAGCGCGAAAGAGCAGAACTGAAGTCCTTGACGACCGTGACCTTGGGTACGTGACTGCGAGGTGTGGAGAGAGGCGAGAGAGCGAGGCTTGAGACGGCGAGACGTGGCGAGGGCGTGAAGCGAGACGTGGCGAGCGATGCATGCGGACAGAGACGAGGCGGATGACGGCAGCGAGGCGAGGCGAGCGAGAGCAACGATGTACACCAGCTGCTCAGGCAGCTGCCGAGGAGCTGGCCGGCTCGCCCTCCTGTCCGGCATTGGCCATGTCGAACATGACGCCCACGACGCGATTGAGGCCGTCGAAATTGGACACGGGCGTGCTGCTCGCCTCGGTCGACGTCGAGCTCGTCTCGTCGGCCTCGCTGCTGCTCGAGCTGCTGCTCGTCGGCGACGGCGTGCTGCTGCTCGAGCTGGTGGGCTGCGAGCGCGTCGAGGAGCGCGTCGACGTCGTCGTCGTCGGCGGCGGAGGTGGCCGTGTGGTGCTTGTCCGCCGCGTCGTCGTCGTCCGTGGCGCATCGTCAAGCGAGTTGCCAAAGGCCCACTGCACCTGGATCACGCCAAGACTCGTGTCTGCAAAGTACTCAAAGAGACCCTGCGACATGTCGATGGCGCCGTACGGGCAGCCAGGACACAGGTCCGTGACGGTGGCCGTCGCCGTCTTGCCGCCGTAGCCAATCGTGATGGTCCGGTAGCACGAGCCGCTGAACTGTGCCGAATTCATCGCAATTATTGCGTCGCTTGCTTTGTTGACCGTGCCGCAGGCTCCGAGGCCCGCAGCGTAGTAGGTGGCGCGGCCGGAGTAGGCGCGCCGCGCCAGCTCGCCGCGAGGGTCGAGGCTGGAGCCCGCCTCGGCGGCGCGCTGCTCCACCTGCGCCGCGCCGAAGCGGCGCAGCAGGCCCTTGTGCGAGCGGGCGTGAGGCGCATGCTCGGCGGAGGCGAGGAGCGCGGCGGCGAGGCAGAGGAGAGGCGTAGCGAAGTGCATCGCTGCGAGAGAGCGAGAGGTGCGGTGTGAGAGAGCAGCCGAGTGAGAGAGGGTAGAGGTCGGCGCGAAGGAAGTCGCGCGGGCTTGGAGGAGGGCGAGTCGAGCAGACGGTGGGAGATGGAGCTTGAGGAGGTGGTGGGCGTGGAGAAGGAGGCAAGTGTGGCTCGCTGTCGGGCTATGTGTATGGTCGTCGGAGCCAGAGGCTCTCATGCAGCGCACGGTAAGGCAAGGCAAGTCCAGCCTTCGTCGGAGCGCCGGATCGTCGGTGCCTGCGTGGCTGTCTGCAGGCCGACAGTGTGCTCCGCTTAGGGGCAGCCGCACCCGAGCGGGGCAAATGCAGCAGCAGCACCCAGCTGCAGCCTTGCCTCGCTCGTTCGATCGGGCAGCCGTAGCGCAGGCGGCCTGTGTTGTGCTGCAGCGAGAGGGCCAATAGGGGCGGCCGGCTGGCGGTGCGTCACGCAACTCTACAGCCGTGCGCCGGGTGCGGCTGGTGCTGGCCCCTCTCTGCGCTGCAAGCATGCAGATCATCAGCGGCAGCCGCAGAACAGCAGCATCAGGACAGGCACGCCGCCAGAGCACCGTACATGTCGTCGTGCTGCAGCAGATGCTCCTCTCGCTCGTCGCCGTCGTCGCTGCTCAGGGGCCCTAGCCGCTAGGCTGCGGTGCGAGCGTTGGGGCTGCCGCTGCTTCGCTCTTCGTCCGAGGGGCAGCCTTGCTCGGCTTGCTCTTGCGCGGCGGCGCCGCGCAGGACGGCAGCATGCGAGCAGCGCGGAGCTGCGGCCGTAGGACGCCGCGCCCTCGCCGGCACACTGGCGCCGTGCGCGTGCTGCACGGCGAGGCTGCTTAGCGCCGCGCGTCCTGCAGGCGTTTGAGCGAGCGCACGCAGCGGCAGGCCAACGCCTTCTCGGAAGACGTTCTTTCCTCCCGCTCGGCCCCCCTCCGAGCGCAACCCTGTGAGGCGGCCCGTCCGCACGGCCGGCGATCGCTGAGCGGCTGACCCTCTCGGTGCGGCTGATGCGCTTCCGCATCTCGCTTGCGCACGGCACATCCGCATCCTGGGCCTTGGCAAGCTGCCGTCTCGCCGTGCCTGCGTCGGTGCCGCGTGATTCGCGCTCGCGCCTCGCGGTGTCTGCAGGAGCAAGACGAGAGCGCGCCTCTCCACACTTTCTCATCACGCTCACGCATCCTGAGTCGCTCTGGCGTATGAAGCAGCGTCAAGGAGTGCTGATGACGATGCAGATCCCTCGCCAAGGCGCCGGAACCTTGCGTTCTCATACTGTGGGTCAGCGGTCGTCGTGACGGGTGCACGACGTTGGCCTTCGCGCGCGCGGCGGCGCCGTGACGCGCTGACGGCACGGAGCAGCGCGCAGCTTGGGGCCTCTTGATCCTCCGGCCTGTCCAGCAAGCAGTCTGCATTCTGCAGCTCTGGAAATCGCCGATCAGCAACCTCTGGCTGCATCACTTGTGCTGCAGATCACTGGATTGTGGGTCCTGCCCAGCAAAATGTGGCGGCGGACCGTCCGGTGGTCGGGTGCGCGTCGTCTGCGCGCGCGCCGCCCGCCAGACGCATGACGCTGCCCATCCGACAGCCGAGCGCAGTGCGCGTCCCGTCCGCTCGGCCCCGCTCCGCCGTCGTTCTCTGTTTCGCACACCGCACCTCGATCGCAGTCTTGCTCGACGCACAATTGACCGGCATGCGGATGCTTTCGTGCATGCAGCATGCGGTGGGTGGCGCCGTGTGTTGCTCTGGAGGCGAGTCGGATGCCTCGGACCTCGAGGCGCGGGCTGCTGAGTCAGCAAGACGAGCCGGACCGCGTCACTCGGCTCAGAGCTGCCTGGGCCTCTGCCCTTCGCAAGACATACTCTCTTCGCCTTGGCCTGTCTGAGATGCTCTGGGCCGACCGTTCGTGTCTCACTGAGGTCGTGGTAGCTGTCTTGGAGGCAGCAGTGCCGGGTGAGCGGCAGAAAGTCACGTGGGGCTCGTTTTGCAAAGCCCGGCCGCGCTTTCGACGCTTCACAGAGTTGCTCGCCTCCGAGCGCCCGGCTCAGCAGTCAGACGGCGCCAAGAAGGACCTAGAGGCACTCGAGAGCATGTATTGCGCATATTGAGCCGTAAAATGTGCCCCATCTGCCCTTCTGGGGCTTGGGAGGACGGCAGTTGTGTGAAGGAGCAGCAGCGGAGGGGCGACGAGGTCACGTGCCGCGCGGGCGTGGGAATTTCAAGCCGTGCAGCAGCCCCAGCCTCGCCCTCGCACCAAGAGCACGTCCTTCTGCCGTCACCACACCAACACCTCACCACACAACGAGCGTCCACGCCATGCTGCTCGTCTCGTCGCGCCTCGTCACCGGGCCATGGTCGCCCGCCTTTGCGGCGAGCCGCGTCGTGCCGCTGGCCGCCGCCGCCTCGCGCGCACAGCTGCGCCTGGCGTCGTCCACCCCACGCCTGCCCTCGCGCCTGGCCGCACGGCAGCAGCGCTGGCAGCACACGGCATCGAGCATGCAGCAGAGCAGCGGAGGTGCATCGGGTCTGCCGCCAGGCTACGGTGCCCGAGATAGCTCCTTTACCTCCTCTGGCAGCGGTGCGCCCAGCTCGCTGCCGTACAGCTTCTTCTCGCCCGTCCTCACGCCCGAGCTGCTGGCGCCGGCCGCCTCTCCACACTCGCCGGCGTCCAACGATCCCACGCGTGCGCCGCTCTCGGGCCCGCTCTCGCTGCCCACCACGCCTGCTGCCGCGATCAGCGAAGGCTACCGGCCCGTGCCGGCTCTGACGGCCAAGACGCTCAAGCGCGCCTACGTGCAGCTCGGCAAGGGCAACCTCACGCTCCTCGTCACGCTCACCTCCATGGCCGGCTATGCGCTGTGTCCAGCATCACTGGCTGTGTCCAGCGGGCCACTCGTGCTGCTCGCGCTCACTGCCGGCACGGCCGCCTGCTCGGCCGCCGCCAACGCGACCAATCAGCTGCTCGAGGCGCCGTACGATGCGCAGATGCCGCGCACGCGCAACCGGCCGCTGCCTGCGCGTCTGGTGACGCCGCTACACGGCGCCACGTACGCCGGCATCATGGGTCTGTCGGGCGTCACGATTCTCTCGCTCGCCGTCAACCCGCTGACGGGCGTGCTGGGCGCCGCCAACATCATCCTGTACGCCTTCGTGTACACGCCGCTGAAGCGCGTCCACATCGTCAACACCTGGGTCGGCTCGCTGGTCGGCGGCATCCCGCCGCTGATGGGCTGGACGGCAGCGACGGACTCGCTCTTGCAGCTCTCCGACGCGCCAGGCTGGCTGCTGGCCGGGCTGCTCTTCGCATGGCAGTTCCCGCACTTCAACGCCCTCTCGCACAACCTTCGCAGCGAGTATGCGCGCGGCGGCTACCGCATGATGTCGGCCTCGCACCCGCTGCTCAATCGCCGCACGGCACTGCGCTACGCCATCGCCTGTCTGCCGCTCTGCGCCGCTCTGCCTCTGACGGGCGCCGTGCATCCCATCTACGCGCTGCTCAGTCTGCCCGCAAACGTCGCCTTCATCCACGCCAGCTGGCGCTTCTGGCGCGACCAGAGCGACAAGGCCGCACGCTGGTGCTTCTGGGTCAGCCTCGTGCACCTGCCCGCCGTCATGCTGCTCGCCATGGTCTGCAAGACGGGCCTCTGGGACGGCCTTCTCGAGCGTCTCGGCTTCGGACCCGCTGCGCCAGCTAACACTCCCGTGCGAGCCGTCGAGGACAAGTGCGTCTAGGCGCATCACGAGGTGCAAGCACAGATGTCCGTGGGGGTATCTGATTGCAATGCACAGCCCATACAGAGACGCTGCGCGCAGAGGAGGGAGAAGCATGAGGCGAGGCGTCGCGATGGAGAGTCAAGGTGGCAGCGGCATTAGTAGCTCTCAAAGTGGAAGCCGTCGCGCAGCTCCTGGCGCGGCCGCTGCTCTCGGTGCGGCGCTGGGGCCGCTCTGGGATCCGAGACGACGCGGCCGCGACTGGGCAGCGACGTGTAGGCGTCGGGACGTTGCGCCGCGCGTGGCTGCTGGTAGGAGTGGCGCGGGCCACGCGGGTCTGGACGGCCGCGGAACGACGCCGGCTCGCCAGTGTACGGGTCGTAGGAGGCGCGAGCACGCGGCGCCGGACGCTGCGTGTACGAGCCGACGGCGTTGCTGGGCGCCGGCGCGAAGTCCGAAGGCTGCAGCGCCTGCTGCGGGTACTGCATGGCTGAGTGACGTCCGCCGCTGCTGTAACCGTTGGAGGCCCAGTAGCGCTCGCTGGCCTGCCGCGGCTGGTCGCCATGGCGCTGCGGCATGCCTGCATTCGCAGGATACGGCTGGGCCGGCGCGCTGGTGCGAGGGCGGGGCATGCCTGGTGCGTCCGGGTACGGCTTGACGACCGGGTATTGCTGCCGAGTCGGGTCCATGACCGCACCGCGCGGAGCAACGCTGCCGACGGCAAAGCCGGACTGCTGCTGTTGTGCGCCTGGATGCAGCGGCGCAGAGGCACGTCGGCCGGCTCCGACGCCCGCACGGACGTGGCTCGGAGGTGCTTGTGCGCTCTGCTCCATGTCCTCGCGCGCCGCAGCGCCGGCGGTGAACGCATCGCGCTCGTCGCCAATGTCGGCGCCGAGCTGCGACGGAGCGGGCAGCGGCGTGTACGGCGCCGGCTGCTTGGGCTTCTTGCCCAGCCAGGTCCACTTCATCTCGACGGGCGGCAGGATTGCCGCAATCTGGCTCGGGCCCGGCGCCGGTATGCTGCTGCGGCGGACGCGCTCCGCCTCGGCAGTAGCTCGGGCCTTGGCCTCCTTTTCGCGAGCCGCTCGCTCGTGCTGCTCCTTCTCGGCACGCCACGCCTCGAAGCGCTTGACGCGCTCGGCGTCCTCGCGCGCTCGAGCTGCAGCCTCGCGGGCCGCGTCTTCCTGTGCTTGAGAGCGTCCGCCGTTCACAACGCGGCCCTTGCTGCCTGGCGGTGCGGGCAGGCCGAGGTATTCGCGCTCGCGCTCCTCTGCCGTCTTGACCCGTCCCGAGCCGGTGGTCGAGGGAGCAACGCGCGATGCTGGCGCGGCAGCCTGCGCGCGAGGGTCGGCTGCGAAGGCGATGCGGCTCTGACGAATGGCGCTGCCTCCTGTGGCGGGCGGCGAGGTCGGCGTTGGCGTCGCCACCTGATCCTGTGCGCCGTACGGGAATGTCTCGGGCGACAGCGGGCCTGGCAGGCTGAGCTTGATCTTGCGTCCCTTGGGACCGGACGCTGTCGCAGCCGCCTCCTTCGCGGAGATGGCCGACGTGGTACGCGGAAGCGGTGGAGGTTGGGAGCGAGCAGTGACGACCGGTGCGACTGACGGCTGAGAGACGGAGCGCTGTGGCTCTTGCCGCAAGACCTGCTCCGTCGCAGGCGCGCCCTGCCGAGCCGTAGGCGGGAGGGACGCTCGCGGCGCATAGGTCGCTTGCTTGACGGTCGGTGGAGCAGGCGGCTGAGCGGAGCTTTGCTCTATCGAATTCGGCATCGCGAAGAGGCTGGCACGCTGTGCCTTTGGAGCGACCAGCTGCGGGCCGGACTCGGCGGCAAAGCCGGGTGGCGGCGACCGCAAGGACGAAAAGTCGGCCGGCACGAGGACCGCGAGCTCTGGACGCTGCTCGTGCTCAACCTTGGCGCGCGGCTGCTGCTGCTGCTGCTGCTGCAGCTGCTGCTCAGTTTGCTGGCGCTGACGCCATGCCTCAGCTTCACGGCTCGACGGCGTGTTCTCGAGATGACGGCTGGACGGCGTGTTCTCCACGCGGCGGCTCGCCGGCGCATTCTCCAGGCGACGAGTCTTCTCGACCTCCTGCTGCTGCTGCTGCTTGTTGCTCTGCTGGGCGTCCACTGTGCTTTCGCGACGATGAGGTGCAATCGTTCCGCCGCTCTGTGCTGTTGGAGCCGAGGCCGGCTTGGCAGGCGCAGTCTTGGTGCGCTTGGCAGGGCGCGGCGCAGAGACAGGCGGTGCGGGCCTTGCAGCTGCGCGTTCCGCGTACGTAGGCGACAGTGGGTCGCTGAAGAGCATCCCCTTCGGCAGAGGTCCCACAGCCGACGAAGCCGTCGGCGAGGGCGCTCTGGGCGCTGCGCCGGCGTCGACACCATCGTCACGGACGGCGCTGGTTGTTGTGCTGATGTGCCCTTGCTCCGACTTGACGACTGTCATTGCTTGCGACGAGACGCCCTGCTCGTGCGTCACAGCAACGCGCGTGACAATGACTTCATCAGCGTGTTGCTCCGACGGCGGCTCGGTGGTGCGCATGCTCGAGACGCGCGAGAAGGCTGCACCCAGCACGCCTTGGCCGGCTGAGACGCTATGCAGCAGCGGTGGACGAGGCGCGTCGAAGGGAACGCTGGACGGCGACACGACATCCGAGTCGTGAGAGGAGGTGCGGCACGTAGAGATGATGTTGTCGAGCGGCGACGAGCGTAGCACCGAGTCGGCCGACGATGAGGATGTCTGCTTCTTCTGGCTGAAGGCGGCGATGCGAGCCACCGGAGTGGATGGCAGCGCACCGGCAGCGTCGTCCTCGTGCGGCACAGCACGCGAAGGCGCACTGTAGCCGCCGCCGAACGCATCGTGCTCGTCGTCGTGGTCTGCGCCCGAGCCCGAGATGCGTTCGCGTACAGAGCGCCACCAGGCTCCGATGCTACCACTGCCCTGTCGAGGGGCATGGCGCTGCCGCTCGGCCGCATCCTCCACGGGCACCCAGTTGCCGTTCAGCACGAGCTCATCGTCGACAACCTCTGCAAAGCCCTTTTCGTCGATCTCTGGCGACTGCACCGCAGGGTTATGGTAGCGCGAGAGCTCGGGATGATGGTCAATCTCGTCCTCGTATCGAACGGAGTCCTCGTCTGGCTGCTGCGCTGGCGTGTACGTCAACGCGCGTATCAGGCCGCGCGACTCGACGAGCGCTGCGTCGCCGGCCTCTTCGTCATCGTCGTCATCATCGTAGCGCTTGCCTAGAGCGCGGTTGCCGCGCGGTGAGAGCGTGTCATCCTCGAAGGACTCTCCGACCGTGCGCACAGGGCGCAGCAGGCCTGCCGAGGCAGAGCTCTGCGTCTTGCCGTCTGAAGAGGGAGCACCACGGCCCGAGACGCTCTTCTCGGCATCAGCGGCATGCTCGACGTCGAATGCTTCTTCGCGCGCGCCGCCGTCCTTGAAGAACGAGCGAGCCTGTTGCTTCATGGCCTGACGTTCGCGCACCAGCTCTGCGTGACGTTCGCGGCCGAGTGCCTTGTGCAGATGCACGTACTTCTGCCTTCGAATGTCGTCTACTTCTGTGAAATCGCGGCCGCGCGAGCGCGCAACGATGTAGCGCGAAGAGTCGCGCATGCCGCGCCACCAGTCGCGGAAGTCCATCACGTCGAGCAGTGCTGCGCCGATCTTGGTCGTGCGCTGCCGATCGGCAGGGCGGTAGACAAGGTACGTGAAGGCCTGTCGAAAGTGTGTGAGCATCGGCAGTGTGTCCAGGATACGGTCGGCCTCACCTTGATGTGCAAGAACGCAAAGACACACATCTCGGCAGTGAGCAGCAGCGCCTCGATGCCGACCTGCACGTCCTCGGCTGAGAAGTACTCGGTCTCCTTGAGCACGTCGAAGTAGAAGAGAATAGAGAGGAAGAGGCTCTGCCAGAAGATGATGAAGATGGCCGCCTGAAGAGACGCGTGTCAGCCGGGGACCGACCACCGCGTGTTGGCTCGCTGTTCACCTTGACGGCGAGAAACTTGAGGATGGGCGAGTAGGGCTTGAGCTCCTTCTGAATCGGCATGTACAGCTGCAGCAACGCATAGAGCGCCACAGTGACGCTGCGATTCGCGGCCGTCAGCAGCGCAAAGGCAAGCCAGCTCTCGCCTTACCGCGCACCTGATGGTGATCGCCAGCGCGATCCAGAGATGGCCGAACGCCGGCGACCAAGAGGCGAGGCAGTACAGGCCCATGTACTGCAGTCCCACCGCGGCCTGTACACGCCAGTCAGCGCTGAGCTGAGGCAAATCCACGCGACACAACTCACGATGGTGCACACGGGCCTGACGATGGCGTACTGCAAGATGCAGATCTTCATGATCCAAAGAAAGTGCAGGCCGGTCGGGCGATAGCGCCACCATCCGAGCGGCCACACCCACTTCTTGAGCTTGACCTGGCTGAACACCTCATTCTGCTCTGCCGGAGAGTCGCCGACGTACTGCAGCAGCAGCCAGACGAACGAGGTGATGACGACTGCTTCGTAGCAGTCGCGCACGAGCTGGAAGACGATGGCCTGGCGGACAGGCGTCAGAGCGGTCGCTGAAGGTCGTAGGCGATCCATGCGTCAAGCCCGCGACCCACACCTCCTTGACAGCGACAGTCCTTGCCCTCTACGCCCACCTCTCTCGCTCCTCACCCACGATGCCCGCCTCGCTGACCGATCGCTCAGCCGTGCCGCACACTCACCTGCGGGTAGAAGTAGTACGAGAGAAACGAGACGAGTGCGTACACGGGCACCATGAAGAGCATGCGCACGATGTGTCGCTGCTGTTGCGGACACGTGTAGTACCGCAGATGCTGCGCATCGGCGCCACATCAGCTTGCCATCCACGCGTGCCAGCGCCTGTCTCGCGCAACGCACCTTGATGATCAGCCAGAAGCTCGCCGTGCACGCAATGAGCGCCAGCACACCGCTGACGATCCAGCCCACATCGCGCGCACGGAAGTGCAGCTGGCCATCGGCCCAGAACTGCGTGGGGTCGGCGGGCTTGGAGACGTGCGGACACCTGGGCATGGCGGCGGCGGCGTGCGCGTGCGCGACGAGCGCGACGCGGGCCGAGGGAGAGGAGAGGCTAGGAGATGGAGGCGAGGGAGCAGCAGTCGCGAGAGGGCGTCACTGGGGATGGAGTCGTGAGACAGGATCGTGAGGGCGTGAGAGGGTCGTGAGGCGTGAGATCGTGAGGCGTGAGACGTGAGGCGGGCGTGAGACGAGAGGCGTTAGCGCAGGCAGCAAGAGACGAGACGGGGGATGGGATGCATGACGGACGTTGCGCTGGGCGCGCGGCGCGTCGAGGCGCGTGCTTTGAGCTGCGCGGCGCACGCCAAGCCCAGGCTGCTGCAGGCCCCGATCAACGCTCAGGGGCTGCGTGGGGCGTGGGAGCAGCGCCGGGGCAGCGACTGACGGGCAGCAGCTGCGATCTGCAATGACGACTCACAGACTGCGCGTCTTCGCAAGCCGATCATCTGGACACTCACAAGTCGCTCACTCCATCCGACTCTGTGCGCTGCAGCGAGGGCAGCCTGCGCCGGACGCTCCGAGGACGCAGCTGATGGGCGGCAGCTGCGCGCGCCCGCGGAACGTTCCTCTGCCGCGCCTCTGCGCCGCATCACGCATCAGCACGCACTGCCCCCTCGAGGCGCTGCAGAGGGGCGTGGTGAGGTCATCACTGGCATCGAGCCAGACGCCGCGCTCGGACCTGGGCCTCATCTGCACTCGACGTCCGCTTCCTCCGCCGAGGCTCATCGTCAAGCTCGGCCGCCGTGCCCGAGCCGTACTCTGTTTCCTCCCATGCAGCGCCGCCGCCCGAGCAGGAGCGTGAAGCGTGAAGATGGGTCTGCTGTCATTGACAAGTCGACAAGAAAGAGGGAGTAAAAGGATCGTCACGGTGTTCTGTAGATAATGATGTGTGTGTGTGGGTGCGCTGTCTGTACGAGGCGCGATGGTGTGTGGGAAGGAAAGAGGCGGGGGATGGCATGTGAACGATGCTACGAGCGAGCTCGGATGCTGCCAAGCGACTGTGAGAGGATGCGTGATGCAAGAGACCGCGCACGGCGCGCCTTTCTGGCGTCTCGACTCGAGCTCAGTTGCTGCCCGGCTGCGGCTTGCCCACACAGGTCCAGTTGTCGTTGCGCGTGCCCGGCTTGGCGGTGACCTTGTACGGGCTCGGCTGCTTCGTGAGGCACTTGGCCGCCGTGACGCTCTTGATGCCCTTCTTCTTGAACTGCTTGAGCGCGTACGGGATCACCTGGTGGATGCTCGTCTCGTGCGTCTAGTGGCGTGCATCAGTGTCAGCGTTGCGGGAGTGGGGCCGCAAGGCGAGGAGGTCGTAGACGACTCCGGCTCGCGTGACTCACCTCGTGCTGCAGAATGAGAATGTCGTCGCCCTTCTTGAAGCTCTTGTACTGCGCCTTCTCCTGCGCGACCGTGGCGCCGAGTCCATCGCCGGCATCCTGCTTCCACTGCACGACCTCGAGTCCCCAGCGGTCCTTCAGGTGCTGGTTGATTTTGAGGTTCGTCTCGCCGAACGGCGGGCGGATCAGACGCGGCACGCGGCCGATGGTGGCGAAGAGGGCATCCTCGAGCAGCGAGACCTGGCAGGATGATCAGCGATGTCTGGCGGAGCTCTCACACACGAGGTCGGCTCACCTGAGTGTCGATCTCGTCCATCGTGAGCTGCGTGAAGTTGGGGTGCGACCACGAGTGCGAGGCGTACATGACGCTGCCCGTGGCGAGGGCCGTCTGCATGGCCGTCACCTGCGGCTCGTCGTAGATGCAGCGCCAGTCTGCAAAGGCATGGCGTCAGTACACGGTCACAGCACCGGCGCGGGCGACGACGACGAGCATGCACGCACTGTTGCCGTTGACGAAGTACGTCGTCTTCATCTGGTTGTCGTGGAACATCTGCGCAATCTCGGCGTGCCAGTCGTACGGTCCGTCATCGAACTGGGCGCGGGTGTCAGGAAGTGGTCCAAGAGCCGATGGACGGCCCTCCTTGCCTGCCGCTCCCGTCAAGACTCACAGTGATGGCAGCCTTGCCGTTGGCGCAGCGACCGATGCCGGGGCCATGGCCGTTGACCCACGTCGCCGCACCATCGTGCGCCGGTCCACCAGCGTCGAACTTCTGCGCGCCGCGCTTGCCGAGAGACGGCACCTCGCCCTCGAAGAGCTCATCGACGATCTCCTCGAGCTCGCTCTCCTCCTCGTCGTCGTCGTCATCGCGAGCCAGGAGGTGCTCGTAGTGCAGCGTGTACTCGCTCGGGTCGCGCTTCTCGAGCTCGGCGCGCACGTTGGGCGAGAGCTGCGAGAGCGCCAGGTTGCGCGCCTCGAGTGCACGGCGCTGCGAGGCACCCATCTGCACCATGCGCTGCTCCGAGCCCACCGAGGCGAGGGCGGAGCTGGCGACGCTGAGCGCCAGAGAGACGAGGGGGAGCGTGAGATGCATGCCGGGCGTGTGGTGGTGAGGGAAGGAGCGGACGGAGGGTCGGATGGAGAGCAGGCTCAGCGAGCGAACGCGCTGCGAGCGGAGAGAAGAGAGAAAGCTCGGGCGGCCAAGGCACAGGGGCGAAGCCGGGAGGAGGCTATTTGCAGCGGATGCGGTGTGCGGTGTCGTGCGCCGCACGGGTGCTGCCGGATGAGGGGGGCTGAGAGGGGCTTCGGCGCAGCGCTGCTGGGTCGAAGTGACGAGGAAGGGGAACGTGCGGGGGCTAAGGGGAACGAGCTGGAGGGGAGAGGAGGGAGTGGTGCGGAGGCAAGAGGCTGATGAAGCGCGAGGCCCGGACTTTGGCCGGCGCAGCAAGCTCTCTTGATCGGACAGAGGAGGTCGGGGCAGCTTGCGGTCGCTGGCGCTGCTGCAGGCGCTCCGAGCGGCAGCCTCTCGGTGCGGTGCTCTCGCGTCGGCCGCTGCAGCTGCTGCCGCCGGGCGGGCGCGGCTGAGCGGCGCTTGCGAAGGCGCGCGTGTGTGTCGCGTGTTGCCTCGCCTCCGCCATGAGCCGCGACTCGCCGCGCGCTCGCTGCCCGCGGCGCGCAGCTCGCATCGGCACCGCGCCGGCAGCCGAGCGGGAAGCACCATCAGCGCTCTCTTGCTGGCCGCAGCATGTCGCTTGGAGCACAGCGGCCTGCCGTCGGGCCGAGCAGCACAACAACGAGCGAGAGAGTCGGCGGCTGCGGCTGCGGCTGCGGAGCGCGAGCGGCTCACTCGCGCTGCGGCATGCGAAGCGCCACAGCCAGGCGGCCTGCAGCGCTGCTGCGTGCGTTGCTGCGCCGCCGCCTTCTCCTCTCCTCATGCCGCCGCCACACTCCGCCGAGCCGCCGGCTCGCTCGCGTGCGCGCGGCGTGCGGGCTGCCCGCGCCGTGCCTGACGCCGACGCCGACGCCGACGCCGAGAGGGGTGCTGCTGCTGCCCCCTCGCCGCCTGCGCAGCTGCGAACAAGCTCCTGTCTGAAGGGCCGCCGATCAGGGCGAGTGCACCTATTTGCGGCGTATATACGCCCCCTGAGCCGCTGTCGGCGCTCGTCGGCGTCGGTGAGGATCTGCTCTCGCGGGCCCTTGCGTGCGCCGCATCACGACATGCAGGAGTGCATGGCCTCCACTGCGAGCTGCGCCCACACGCTGGGGACACAGATGTGCGGGCGCCTCGTCTCCTGCGCCCGTCGCGGGCAATGGGAAGGGTCTGTGCGCAGCCTCGCAGGAACTTCAGATCGACATCCAGCATGCAGCCGCTCGCTGCTCGCTCTGCGCTTAGGACGCAGGACACAGAGACCGCACGGGCCGCGTCGGGCGCGGAGACCGGGCAGGAGCGGTGCCCTCGAGGCCGGCCGCACTCCAGCGCTGCGGCTCAGGCCCGCTCCGCACCAGCGCCATGCCGAAGCTTCATGCGAGGGACGGTCTGTCATTTGCTTTTGACTTTCGATCTTGTCTTGTTGTGTGTTTGAGATGTGTGTGTGTGTGGGATGGACATGTGCTGGTTGTTTGATGTTGGGATGTGTGGTCGTGAGGGAGCGAGGGAGCGCTGAGAAGATGCTGTGGGTGTAGATGTGTAGAGAGCAAGGGGAGAAGAGCGTGCCGATGCGGGTGTGTGTGGGAGGGCGTAGAGCGCCTGCGTTAGTTCAAACGAAGAAATGTGCAGCGGAAGCAAGGTGCGTGATGCAGAGAGAAGAAGAGAAGGCCAAGCGGAGGAGCTCGAGGGTGTAGAGAGACGAGGGGTTGCTGGAGCGACTTGGCCGAGGTTATTCAGCGGGCGAGAGTCGGACGTTGGCGAGGATGAGCGGAGTGACGCTGGCTTGCAATAGCAGCTTCAGGCGAATTGGCTGCGTCGAGCTGACGACGAGGCCTTTTGGGAGAGCGCACGGCCGAAATTAGTTGCCGATCCTCGGCGTAGCGTTCTGCTGGTCCTCGCGCCCAGCTGCGGCGCCATTCTGATTCTCGATCTCGAGCGTCGCGTTGAGGTAGCCCTTGAGCTGGCCCCAGAGCAGGAACTCCTCGTCGCGGCGCGCCATGTTGGGATGCTCGCGCAGGAAGCGGATGATGGTGTCGACGGACCGCTGCGCTTCATGCACCGTGACAGGCTGCTCGGAGCTGCGCGAGCCTGCGCTCGAGTGGCACGGTGAGGCTTCACCATCGTCCATTCGCTCGTTGCCGCCGCCGGGAGACGAGGTGCTCGAGACGCTCACGAGCCCCGCGACGCCAGAGTCATCGTGCGTGCATGCGCTCGTCGAGGTGTCGAACGTGCTATCGCCGTTGGTGCCGCTGAGCGAGTGGCTCAGTCTCGCGCCGTTGCCCAGCTCGCGAGGCGGCGCGAAGGGGTTGGGCGATGCGGCCGTGTAGCCGGCAGCGGCGAGGCCTAGGCTGTTGGCGGCGACGTCCTTGAGTGGCTGGCCGTGCTGTTCCGGCGAGATGGCTTGCATCTCTGCATGGCCATACGTCCCGTGCGGCGCTTGCTGCTCGAAGGCCGGGCCGAGCATCGACGCCATGCTCTGCATGTGGGTATCGTCGTGGCTCTGCATGTGCTGCATGCTCGAGCGGTCGTCGTTGCGCATGCCACTGCCCGAAGAGCCAGAGGAGGTATACGGCGGCGTCGAGGTGCGTCCGCCTGGGCCGGTGCTAGTGCGGCTGCGCAGGCGTTTTGAGAGCTGTTCGTGGGTTGACGGCATCGGCAGAGCACCTTGCAGCATCAGATCGGCGCGGCGCTTGGCGGCTCGTGGTGTAATTTGGCCATGGGCGGCGATGGAGTCGGCATTGGCTGCGGTGCGCGCTTGAGCGGCAGAGGCTGCTGCTGCTTCTGCTGCGGCGGCAGCGGCCGACGCCGAGAGACCTTGCTGGTCGGCCTGTTCGAGAGCCGCACGGCGAGCGTCGTGTTCGTTGAGGACTGCGCCGAGCGGCGCAGCAGGCGGGCCAGCCGGGCTCGGAGCGGGAATGCGGCCGAGCGACGACGTGCCGATAGGCGACGGCGTCGGTGCGGCACTCGACGACGGCACGCGCGGGGCGATGGGACTGCCGATGCCCGTGTTGCGTCGTAGCCGCTCGCGGAACTTGACGACCCAACCGGCGCTGGCGCGGAACGTCGTCTCGCCCTGCTCACGAGCGATGGCGGCAGCCTTCTCCATGAGCGTGCGGTCGGAGAGCGGGCCGCCATTGGCTTGAATCCAGCCGGTGAGGACAATCTCGATCTTGGGGAAGCGGGCGTTGCTGGTGGACGATACGGTCAGCAAGCCAGTTATGACCACATCCTCAGCTGCTCGTGCCACGCACCGGTGCTTGACAATGTGGCCCTCGCGCTCCTCGTCGATGTTGAGCCACTTCTCCTTCTCCTTGAGAATCTTGCTGACCGTCGAGCGCTCGACGCCAAAGTGCGTGCCGACGGTCTCCTGGCGCAGCTCGGGGTGCTCGTTGGCGAACTCGCAGATGCGCTTGCGGTCGATGTTGCTGAGGCGCGTTTTTGACTTGCCTGCCAGCGACGCCGCGGGGATCGAGGGCGCCGTGGCGATGGTGAAGCTCGACGTGATGCTCGACGACGGCGACAGCGAGCGCGACAGCGACGGCGTGCATGTGCCGGATGCTGAGGCCGTCGACGACGAGTGGCTGTGCGAGTGGGCGAATGGCCGGCGGGGCAGGCCCGAAAGACGCAGGAAGCCGTCGCTGACCGATGCGGCCTCGGCCGCCTGGCCCAGCGAGCGCGACGCGGTGCGGAACGAGTACGGCATCGCGGCCGACGACATGGCGCGCTGCATCGGCGTCGGCGACGACTGCAGAGGACACGGTGAGCAGGGCGGCATAATCAGGCGATGCAGCGCACACTCACCTGCGACGGCGCCACGGGCAGGTCGAGCATCTGCGGCGGCTGCGCGTCCCACTCGCCGGAGCGCACCTGCTGCTGCGACTGGCTCGAGCTCATGGCGTGTGCGTGGTGGTGGTGGTGCGCGTAGGGCGAGTAGTCGTGCGGCGACGGGATGGGCTGCGAGTGCGAGTTCATCATGGGCATGTTGTGCTGCGGCGTCGACTGGAGGTGCGCGAACGCGGCCAGCTGGCCTTCTTGCGAGGCCGCGTCGTGCGCCGCCATGAGCTCGTCCGGGTGCGCCTGCTGCAGCTGGCTGTGCTGCGGCGAGAGGCGAGGATCGTGCTGTTGCTGCTGTTGCTGCTGCTGCTGTTGCCGCAGCTGCTGCTGTTGCCGCAGCTGCTGCTGGAACTGTTGCTGCTGCTGCTGCTGCTGCTGTTGCTGCGACTGAGCGGCGCTCTGCTGCACCGAGCCGGGCGTCATGCTCTGCTGCGGCTGCTGCGGGCTGCCGGCGAGCAGTGAGCCGCCGGCCTGCTGGTTGCGTGTCCGCGGCGCCATGGTGCTGCCAAGCGGACTTGCTCAAGCTGCGGCGAAGCGTCAGCAGATGCGGTGGCTGAGCGCTGCTGGCCAGCACTCACGCACAGGACCGCAGCAGAAGAGCGCGTGCGGAACGCTGGCGGCCGCACAGCGGGGTGGAGCGCTGCGAGAGCCGAGCGAGAGCAGCTGAGGCGCGGGGTGACGAGTCGGTCAGGCGGGCCACTCTGCTGCGTAGGTGTGTGTGAGAAGGCGAGGCAGATGTGGTGAGGAGCAGGTGAGAGCAGGCTGGAGGGCAGATGAAGGATCGAGGGATCAGGCACGGCCAGCAGCAGCAGCGAGCCGAGCTGCGTGCGAGGCCGCCGCAAGCAGCAGAAGCGGCGCGCGCGGGCAGGCCGGCAGCAGCGCGCGGCAGCGCACGCCAGCCAGCCGCTCCCGCTGCGGGCGGGCCCAGCGCGCGCCGCGCCCGCTGCACGCCTCGGCCGACTCGCCCTTCTCGTGCGGCTCGCCGCGCCGCCTGCGCGCATCATGGCTGCTGCTCGTCGTCGTGCGATGTCGGCCCTCGGCGTCGAACGGGCTGCTCTGAAGGCTCAGGGCACACCATTCATACCCGCCTGGGCTCCTGAACGAGACTCAGACTGGCAGGCGCAGTGCGTCTGTGAGAGAGGATGGTGCAAATCAATCCTGAGCGAGCCCAGAGGACAAAGGGACCTCGGGTCGCGTGCTCGCGTGCTGGCTGCCGCTTCTCCTCCTCGCGCCCTCGCAGCGATAGCAGCAGCGCGCCCCAGCCGCAGGATGGCCCTTAATGTCAACAGCCCTCATGACAAGCGCTTTCACCGCTCAGGCCTCCTTTGGCAACAAGCAGCTGCTTGCCGCAGCAGCCGGGCCAGCCGCGTGCGCTTCCGCAGCCCGCCGCGCGCGGGTGCATTTCGCGCTCGTCATGCGCATCCCGCCCCGTGCCGCCACGGCGTCCCGCCTCCCGGGGCCGCCCCCTTCCTCCTTTGTGGCACGAGATAGCCGCCGATGTCTGCCGTGCGAGACTTCTCGAGGCCAGACGCACCTCACGCAGCGTACCTGAGCAGCTCTCCCCCAAGCGCAGCTGCTCTCTCGGCTGGCCTCCTTCCCCGCACGCCAAATCTGGCCCGGCCGAAGGCGCAAAATATTCGCGATGATCGACGCCGAGCGTCGACGCTCATGACTGGCGCCGTGCCTTGCTGTCTTCGCAGCTCGATCTGCGCCGCGTTGGCCCGTGCGCATTTCTCGACACGAGCTCAACACTGGCGAAGTGCCGACGCCCGGCGGTTTGGCGTGCTCTGCGCTCAACAGGGAGCACCAAGACCGTAGGCCCCGAGGTGAGAGCAAATATCCTGCAGCGTTGAGTGAGCTCCCTACTGAGACCGCCTCCACGAAAGAGCGGCGGGGTGATGAGACAGCCTCCGGCCGGCGCTCTCACGCTCTTCCGCCGAGCGTGGGAGCGGCGATGATCTGCAGGCACGCCGAGGCGCGAAGACTGCTCGCGTGCCCGAGTCCAACACCTGCGCCAGCGCAGGGTCCGGCGCGGATGCCGACGCCGGCGCTGCCCATGTGCCCATGTGCCCGCCGCCCGCTCACCACGCGCGGCTGCCGCTCTGCTCGTCCATCTCGCGCGCCTCCTCACCCGCCGACCGGCGCTGCACGCGTCGAGCGCCACTTCCTCCGTCCGCAGCATCAGTTGCCGGGTGCCGCAGCTGCTCCTGCCTTCTGCGTCGTAGCGTCGCGGCCGACTGCACGCTGAGCTTGATTTCCGCCCTCTAGCGCCCGGCGCGCCGCGGCAGCCGTCGCCCACATGGGAAAGGGCAGCGGCGCGGTGCTGTGGCCGAGGGCCAGCGCACGCGCCAACGCCGACGACCCCTCCCGGCGCCGACGGCCGGCGACGGTCGCAGTTCTGGAGTGGCGGAGCAGCGGGCGTCGAGAGAGAAGCCGGCTCCGTTCATGTGCACGCGATTCGATGGCCTGCGCCGCGAGGCCCTTCCTTCGGTGGCAGTCCGCAGCGGACAGTCCGGCAAGCGCGCACCTCGCGATCGCACGGGCAAAGTCTCGCTGCGCCGCAGTACGTCCGCCGCCTTGCCCAAAGAGGAAGAGCCAGAAGCAAGAAGCCTCCAAGGCTGGTTGCCAGCGAGGCGACGCCGTCGCTGCACTGCACTGAGCGCGGCATCGCGCTCAAGCGAACGCTTGTCCTTCGCACGCTGCACGCCACGAGCTGCACGCCTGCCACGGCCACATGCTATATGCTGCCTGCCAGCGCCAACTTGCTCTTCCTGCTGCCTCCCTCGTGCTCGGATTGCAGGCGCGAGCGGCCATGCCCCGCGTGCCGTGACGGGCACGAGCAGGTGCTCCGTCGGCGATGGCCCCGTGACGGGCTGCCGCTGGAGCACGCGGCAGGACATCGTACCCGAGGCAGCGGATCGGGCAAGGGCGAGAGCGACAAGGGGCGAGGCGATAGGTCCGTGCCCCCCCTTGAGGGCGCTGTGGCGCTGCTCAGCACGAGGCGGGCAGCTGAGCGAGGTGCCCTTGAGGCATGGCAGCTGTGTGCGGACGGATGGACGGCGTCGTGCGGCGCAGCGGCGCAGCAGCATGAGGCTGGCAGCTGCGGCAGACGCACATGCCGAGCTGCGAGCGGAGCCGCAGGCAGGTGACATGGGCCGCGTGCGGGACACTGCCCGCGTGCTGCTGCGGCAGCGCCGCGCACGCGCGGTGCGTGCCGCGCCGTGCACGATGAGCCGCCCCGAGGCGTGCAGCGCCAGCCCCAGCGCGGGAGCAGCAGCGCCGCAGCACAGCAGCAGCAGCACCCTGGGCCACATCTCACCGCACGCCGCCCCGTGCTTGCGCCGCTCCTACACGCCCACACGCCGCCCGGCATGCGCATGGCAGGCGCGAAGCTGAAGGTAAACGCGCACGCGGCACGGGCGTGACAGAGGCACACGAGCACGAGAGGGCGGGCGAGCGGCGGCGCATCGCACCTCATGACGACTTCCCCTTCGGGCAGGTAGGGCAGAGCAGGGTGCAGGCAGAGCACGAGGCAGACGCAGCGTCGCAGCCGGCAGCAGGCGGCGCCCGGGCAGCGGCCGCGATCTCACCGCTCGGGCGGCAGAGGCGGCGCGCTAGCCAGCGCCACCGCGAGCGTTGAGCGGCCGGCGTGCAGGCCGGCGGCGCACACACGGGCGGCGTGCCTGGTGTTGGTCTCTGCGGCGCGAAGTGTTGCTCTCCGGCGCGCCTGCCCGCGCTGCCCACGCTGCCCTCCCTCGCCGCCGCCATAAGAAGCAGCGGCCCGCTGGCCGTTGACCGCTGCGCCCATCATCCTTCCGTCGCTTCTCTCCCTCCAGTTCCGTCAGTCCGTACCGTCTCGCCTAATCTAGCTACCGCCGACCGTGCGCCACTAGCCTATCCGCCTTCGCCTCTTGCGCCTCGCTCGCTCGCGCACCCCGACACGCAGCCAACACACCGGCACACCACCTTCCTTCAGCTCCGCATCCGTTCCTCGTCTCGTCTCGTCTCCTCTCTACCACTCTCTCTCCTACTATCTCTCCTTCTCTCGCCCACGCTTCTCTGCCTATCTCTTTCTGCGTCTCCGCCAAAGTCTGCGCCTCGTCCTCGCCGCATCCGCACCGCCGCCTCTCGTCGCACGACTTTCTGCTTTCGCCTCTCTCTATTTCGCACGGCCGGCCTCTTACTTCCCACCTCTACTGCATCTCCTGCATCCACTCGCTTCGTGACAGCACAAAGTCACACCCACCAGTTCCGTTCTCCTAGATCTTCTCTCGTGAGTCTGCTAGTGCTGCGCTGTGTGCCTCCGGAGGCTCACACCTCTGCAGTTCACAATGCAGGCCTCCGGCTCCTTCTCCAGCACCCGTTCGGGCAAGCCGCGCCCGGCGGACATCATCTCGTCTCGCGTCTCTGCGAGCGAGGCCCGGCCGTGGCCTTCGCCCTCCTTCAACTCGTCGCTCTCGCTCGACAGCGCCATGGCCAGCGCCGATGGATCCAGCACCTCTGCCGACCCGCTGCGTCCTTCCAGCAAGGCGTTCGCGCTGCGAAGCCCCATCTCCATCGATGGTCTGCCGCCCACGCCCGTCACCGCCGGTCTGAAGCTCTCGCCCATCGACGGCAGCAAGCCGGACAGCCAGTCCAGCTCGTCCCACGGTGGCGTGCAGCAGCGCATGCGCCTGCCAGGCCTCAGCGTGATGCTCAACGTCGACTCGCCGCCGCCGTCTGCGCAGCCCGAGCTCTACTCTTCCGAGCAGGAGGTGCTCGCTGATGGCGAGATGCAGGCACCGCCAGCGCTCCGCCCCTCGGCGACCGGCGTCTTCTCAGGCCAGCCGGCTGAGTGGACCACGGGCAGTGGCTCCATGGCGCCGCCCGCCGCTCCTCGTCTGCGCACCGGTGCCCTGCCCATGATCCGTCGCGGTACGTGGCACCCGTCGTCGTCGTCCGGCAGCAACAGCTGGCGCTCGATGCCCTCCGACGAGAAGGTCGAGGGTCTCGGCCTGCAGCTGCACGGCGGCGACTCGCCCATGGCCGCCGAGATGAGCGGTCTGGCGCTCGTTGGCGGCGACATGACTCCGCGTCTTCCCTCGCTCTCTTCGCCGTTGGCCACGCCGACGCTGCACAGCTGGGGTGCTCCCGTCATGCCCGGAGCACCGCGCCTCAGCTCGGGCCGCTTCGAGAGCACGGTGCCCTCAAGCCCGATCTCGCCCGCCCTTGACGCTCGCTGGCAGGCGCCGCTGCGCTTCGACTCGACGCCCTTTGCCGCCGAGTCGGCCGCTCCCATGAGCAGCTGGACGCCGCGTGCCGTCCGCGCTGCCGAGATGGAGCGTGAGCGCACCGTCTGCATCGAGGGTGGCATGCCTCGCATGGAGGGTGTGCGCGGCCTTGGCATCGACTTCGAGTATGCGCCGTCCAACGCCGCCGCCGGCCCCTCGCGCCTTGGTCGTGGCGTCGTTGCTCAGCCGCCGCTGCGCGACGTCATGCAGGAGGACGCACCCGCTGCCATTCGCCGCACGCCGGCCCTCGTGCGCACGCTCAGCTCCAGCTCGCCGGGCGTCGGTCCTACGCGCTCCTCCGGCCTCACGCCACACGTCGAGAAGACGCGTCTGACGCCGTACAGCTCGGCGTCGCGCTCCAAGAACAACGCCTCGCCGCCGAGTGCTGCCACCGCCGCTGGCGCTACTGCCGGTGCAGAGAGTCCGAGCCTGCGTACACAGAGCAAAGCTCGCTCCGACCTGCTGCGCGAGCGCGCCATGGCCGCCGCGGCCTCGCTGCCCGCCGACGGCTCGGCAGCCCACGTCTCCAGCCCGACGGCGTCGAAGAACAAGGGCGCCTCTTCTGGCCGTCCTGGTTCGGCGCCGACGAGTGCGTCGGCTGCCACGGCCTCGCCACCCAAGCGTCGCGGCCTCTCGGAACGCAAGGCCACCTCCAACCGCGACGGCGACATGTCTCCGTGGGGCGTGTTCGACCTTGGAAGCACCGACGACGGCGCCTGGACGCCGCTCGGCCCACCTACCGCCTGCGGCGGTGCAGTCAAGGGCGAGGTCTCTAGCGCCAAGGCGCCTGCTGCCCGTGCTTCGCACGAGCCCAGGGGCAAGGAGAACGTCGGCCCCTCGGGCAAGCAGCGCCGCGCCGCTGGCTCTTCGGAGCCGGGCAGCAAGGCTCAGGGCAACACAGCCAAGCAAGGCTCGGCTCGCAGCGCTCGCAAGGACGTCTTTGGCTCGACGAGCCCCACCGAGACGACGGCGGCGGCGGCTCGGCGCTTCGTCAGCATGCGCTGAGCTGCGAGCTGCCGAGCAGAGCATCGCTTCTCAACTCTCCTCTCCGCATATAGACTGCCTGCCTCTTCTTTGATCAGCACGCCTCCTCTGACGACCTCCGCCTGCACTGCACCGCCACTGCACGCACGCCCAACCCCCTGTATCCTTCCACCCTATCGCTTTGCACCATACCACAATCGTACTGCTGCTCCGTGAAGACGCTGGTGTGTCAGTCTGAGTCGCAACGAGAGCTCGATTGCCACGCCGGCAGGCCGCAGCCGCGGCAGGAGGTGACACTGGGAGGGAGACATGAAGAGAGAGTCGGACACGAGGATAGAGCGGCTGGTCTCGAGCAAGCTGGCCAGCAGCCGCGAGCGCGCAGTGATGTGGCGGCGGAGAGGAGAGGTGGGACAGGTGTCGTTGAGAAGGGATCGCGAGGGGCTCGACGAGGTGGGAATCACTCGTCGTAGTAAGGCAGCTGCGAGTCGGGCTCGAGAATGGCGCTGCCGCGCGGCGTGCCGTACTGCGACGGCGTCGGCGGCTGCGAGGAGCCGCTGTCGCGGCCGGTGCTGCCGGTCGAGCTGAAGGTGCCCGGAGCGAGAAGGCAGGCAGGAGAAAGAGGCGACGCGGGGCTCTGCTGCGAGGCCGTGCTGCTGATCGAGTTGCCGCGACCGGCCTGCGACAAGAAGGCGGGCGCAGGGAAGGGCAGATCGGAATAGCGCTGAGTAACTTCAAAGGTGGGTGTGCCCTCGGCTGCGGCGCCGAGGGGCAGCTCGGGCACGGCAGGCGCTCCGGCGTCGGCCACGAACTCGTCGCGGTTGGCGCTTACGGAGGGACGACTCTGCTCGCTCGAGGCGGTGCGAGGGTAGACCTTGTTGCGCGCCAGGCTGGACATGAAGCTGCGAGGGAGTCAGCACAGGGCCTGTTGGGGTAAGTCCGAGCAGGCTCACCTTGTGACGCTCAGGTGCGTGTGACTCGAGGAGCGCTTGACGTTGGCACGGCTCGCACCATCAGCTTCCACCTCTCCATCGTGAGCTGCGTCCTGCGGCCAGGCAGTCGTAAAGTCCGGCTCGGCAGTCCACTTGTCGGCGGCGGCAGCCAGAGGCGAGCAGCGGGGCACGGCCTTGCGCGGGCTCGCACGCTCCTTCTCGCGCGCCGGGCTTGATGGCGGCGTCGGGAAGCGGTCCAGCAGCTCGCCATGGATGTGCGTAGCATGGGCGTCGGAGCCGTTCATCGTGTTCGCCGAGACGGAACGACAGACTTCAGTGCTGCCAGGCAGCGGCGGCAGATTCTTGCAGCTGTTGAGCGTCCCAGAGCGCTGGGTACGAGCCGTGCCCTTGCGCGAGAGACTTGGCGTGCTGCCGAGCGAGACCATGCGAGCGTGCGTGGTGCGCTCCACGGCGGGCATCACCTCGGCCACTTCCACGATGACGGCCTGCGCAGTATGACGCTCGTCGCTGTTGAACGTCTCGCAGGTGGCAGTCGAGTTGGCCGTGTCGGGCCGCACCTGCTTGCTGGAGGTGGGCGCTGCGGCGCTCTGGCGCCGAGCCGGAGGCACTGGCAGCGACTCGGACCAGTCACGGTTGAGATCGCCGCCATGCGGATTGGGAAAGGCGACCGGAAAGACGAAGCCAGCCTGCATCTGCGACATCTCGGGCGGCGACTGAGAGTAGATGCCCGAGACGCCGCGCTCCTGGATCGGCGTGCGCGCTCGATCCACCTCGGGAATGTAGACCGAGACGGGCGACTTGGTGCACGAGTCCATCCGCCAACCGGTGCAGCGTGAGTACGGCGGCGGACCACCGCGACGCTCCGGCGTCGGCAGCTCGGTGAAGTACGAGCTGCCGGCGCGACGAGAGGTGTGGCGCTCTGCGGGCCAGAGCAACAAAGACGCGCCGAGCAGGACGAGCTGTGAAATTGATCAGTCGTTGCTCAAGAGGTGCCAACAAGATGTACTCACACTGATGAGGGAACTGAACACCACACCGAGAGGGGATCTGCGGAAGCCAGGAAGGGCGAGCGATGTGCACGCGAGCGCTGCGTGCCAGAGTCATCAGCGGAGGGCTTAGCGGCAGACGCGGGATGCAACGCACCCAGCAGCACGAAGATGGAAGCGAGTACGGCGAGCTGTCCGAGTCGTTCCTTGCTGCTTTGATGCTTCGCCACCATGGCCAGACGGACGAGCATGGTGCTGAGAATGCCGGCGCCGACGACGGCTGCGATGCGGTCCAGAGCTCCAGCAGCAGTTGCCGGTCCGACGACGAAGAGCACCGCAGCAGCAAGGTCGAGCGGCGCCAGGCCGGCAATGACGACGAGCAGAGTGCGGCGCACGAGCACATGGTGGCGGCTCTCCTGCATCGCCGTCGCCGCCGTCAGCACCGTGCCGGGCGTAGCAGGCAGCGAGGAGATGGCGAAGCCGAAGTCTTGCGGACGGAACGACTGGCGCTGCGTAACCGCCTGCTGCTCCTCGACACGCTCCTTGGACAGTGTCTGTGTGGCGAGGCCGAGCCAGAGCAGCAGTAGCGTAGTCCAGATCGGATGGAGCAGGGCGGCAAAGATGCCCGGGACGCGCGCGCGGGAGAAGAGAAGCACAAGCGAGGACAGTGCGGAGAGACTGAACGCGACGAGAAGGAGCAGCACCGGCCTGTAGAGAGCGTGAGCAGCCGAGGATGGAGGTCAGACCGGGCGACGTCACTGACCTTGACATGCGACGCTTCGTCGCCAGCAAGACGACAGCGAACAGGAAGGCGAGCTGCAAGCGAGATGTCAGCGATGCGCATCAGCATGCGAGTCATGTGTGCTCACCGATCCAGCGACGATGACCGGCAGTTCGGACGCCTCGCCTGGCAGCAACTGCGGCGCAATGTCGAAGCGACTGACGGAGGGCAGCGCAGTGTACAGCGGGTACAGGCTGGCTGCGCTCGAAGCCGGGCGCGACGCAGTTGAACTCGGTACAGCGTCCGAACGAGTGACTGCGCTGCTGGACGTGACTGCAACGGCTGTTGTGCTTGTCGCGAGAGAAGCAGCGGACGAGGTGACCGATGGCGCGATGGTCGACGGCGCCAGCGACGTCGAGGCGGGGGTCTGAACGGCAGCAGAGCTCGTTTGCGAGCTACTGGGCGGCGCAGAAAGTGTCGTCGAGGTGGAGCTCGCCTCGGCTGTTGGTGTGTCTTCGACGGACGTGGTCACCTCTTGCACACGGGAAGTGCTGCTCGCCACCGGCGCCGGAGTGGGCGTCGTCAGGCCAGACGCGGCAGAAGCGCTCTCCTCGACCGATGGGCCGGAGAAGTCGACGGTGATGAGCTGTCTGCGGCGCAGTGAGAAGCCATCGCCCGGACGAGGATGCGAGTGACAGTGGCGGCCAGCGATGTCATAGCACGGTAGGCGTTCTCCATCCGCTGCAATGACGCCGGCGCGCGCGAGCACTTGCACGTTCGCCGGCCGGTGATGCGAGTGGCAGCGCCGGCCGTCCTGCATGTAGCATGGCATGATGACTTCGTCGGGAAGGACTTGCTGTTGCACACGTGCGCCATCGCTATCGTCGTCGCCGGGACGCACGTGCGAGTGGCACTGTCGGCCGGCGACAGCGTAGCATGGTGCGTCCGACGCCTCGCTCGCTGCTTGAGCGGCGGGCTGCGAGCTGTGCGAGAGAGCGACCGTCGGCGTGGCCAGCAGCGCGACGAGCAGACAGGGAAGGAAGAGAAGGGAGAGGCGGAACATGATTGGGAGACGCGCTGCGTCGAGATGCGCGAGAGGCTCTCGCACGCAACTTGGGAGGAAGGAGCGTGGCGCGAGGCGTCGCGTTGGTGTGGTGGAGCAGAACAGCCGCTAGGGCGAGCGCAGCAGTCCGGCTGCCGAGACGAAGGGCAGCTCGGGCAGAGAGAGGTGCACTGGAGTTGGAGAGGTGTGGTGCGGAAGAAAGGTGAGAGCGAGCTCGAGAATGGCGACACGTGCGGTTCGGCGCATGCCGCGGCGCTGAGTTCAGCGCTATCGGCCTCCAAGAGCACACCGAGCGGCTGCGGCGAAGAGCAAGCTACTCGACTGCCGGCGCAGCGCTCAGGCGATGCGGCATGCGGCGCTGGTGCTGCGATGCTGCGGTGTCAGCAGCTGCATCTCCGATGTCCCGGAGCGGCATCGGATGTCGATGAGCGAAGCGAGGCCGCAGCTGCCGTATGAGGCAGAGCTCGGCCTCGGCGAGGCGCGTTGCAAGGCGACGCAGGCGCATCGGGCAAGGCGCAGCGGCGCATGCAGCTGGGCGCAGTTGCAGCGCGAGCAAGCGGCGGCCGCCCTCGCATGCACCCTGCAACGGCCGGCCAAACACACCGACGCCGATCAGTGACTCCCACACAGCCTCCGTCTCAGCACAGGTGACTGATGTGCATTGCCCAGCCCTCACTCAGCGCTTCGCGGGGCCACGCTTGGGCTTGGGCAGCTCAAACGGCACACGCAGCACCATGCGCCGCTCCTTGCGCGCCGAGCCATCGGCGTGCTGGCCTGTCGCAATGTCGCTCTTGCAGCCGAGCGACTTGTAGATCTCCGCCACCCTGGCGCAAGCAGCGGATCAGCAGCGCGTCCAGCGGGCGATGCTGCAGGATCACTCACTTGGGAGGGCCGAGACCGAGATCAGACGCCAGAGCCCCGTAGTCCACGGAGAAGCCGTCGAGATGCAGCGAGAGGGCGAAGATGTGCGAGAGCAGCTTCGTGTCCTGGTACGTCGTCACGGCGTACCTGAGCAGACCCCGTCAGCACGCCGCACCCCTGCACCTGTCCGCGCGAGACTCACTTCTTGCCGCCGCGCTGCCGCTCCGCAAAGCGCGAGAGCAGATCCTCCATGATCACCTCTCCGCTATTTGTGCCCTGCAGCCGCAGCTTCTCACTCAATGCCTCGCGATCGCGGGCCACCAGCGCCGAACTGCGTCTGAACGCCCACAGCAGCGCCATGAAGAGACACATGCGCAGACGCAGCTTGCCCTCGTCCTTGCTGCCGCTCGTCTTGAGGATGCTCTCGGCGCCGCCTTCGCCCTTCGTGCCGTACAGCGCACGCTGCACGGCATCCCAGGTGCGCGATACGAGCCAGTCGGAATGCGATGGCCCGGGTCCCGGCAGTAGCTTGCGCAGGTGACCCTGGTCCTCGGCCTTGAGCAGCGGTGCGATGTTGAGCGCGTAGAAGATGGCATTCGGCACGATCGAGGCGATGGGGTACGCCTCGCTCGGCTCCGTCGCATCGAAATTGGGTGGCGGGATGGCGCGCTGGGCGTCCGCTTCGGCCTTGACGGCGTCTGCGAGAATTGTCAGCGAAGAGAAGCGAGTGGGTGCACGCAGCCTACTCACCCGCATCGGCCATGCCGCGCGAGCTGTCCTCGATCTGCTGGCGCATCGAGTCCATCACCGCGCCCATGTTGCCCGTGTCCACCTTCATGCGGTCCTGCGCCTTGGCCTTGAGCTTCGTCTTTCGGTTGCCAAATGCATCGCCCAGGTCGCGCCGCTGATTCTGCCGCGTCTCCCAGTCGATGGCCGCATTGTCGCGCGTGGCCGCCAGACTCGACGTCATGTCGCTCAGCGCCTTGACACGCCGCTTGAAGAGGAAGAGCGGCGCCGCACGCAGCGTCACAGTCGATGTCGCTGGGTCGTGCACGCCCACAAGGTACCTGTCACAGCACAGGCTCAGCGGACTGCCGGCGGTACCCAACTCTGCGCACTCACTCGCCGCTGTAGTCGCGCGCCGCCAGCCGCGTCTCGGGCTCCTGGCTCGGCCCGGCCCGCCCGCTCAGCCAGTTGTTGGAGACGTACGTGATCGTGTCCGTCTCGCCAACGAGCAGCATCGAGTCGTCAAACGACGCCGTCTTGCCCGGCGCCTTGGAGTACAGCGTGTACTGCGTGCCGCTGTGCGGCGCGAAGTCGCCGAACTCGGCTGGGCGAGAGAGTCAGCAGGGCTGGCGAGAGGATCGGCCGAGATGCCCGCTTGGCACGCCTCCAATGTCCTTCTGTGCCCTCCCTTCACTCACCAAGCACCGGCCCAACTGCACTCTCGTCTCCCTCCAGGCGCAGCGCTGCCTGCCCTGCCTGGGGCTTGGGCGCTGGCCGCGGCTGCGACACTGCTGCAGCACCGCTGGCCTCGTCCGCCTTGCCCGGCTTGGTGCGCTTCTCCTCCTTGGACTTGTTGTTGTACTTGTCCGTGTTCTTGCTCAGCTTGCGCAGCTCCTGCGAGCGTTGCAGGCTGACGGCCTTGCGCTCGCGCTTCTCCTGCTTCTTGGCCTTCTTCTCGTCGCGCGCCCGCTGCTTCTCGTCGGTCTTGCGCTTCTTCGGCGGCGATCCGGCGGATGCCTCGCCGAGCTGGCGCTTCACGTCTGGCGGCGACTGGTCCATGGTGAGTGAGGTGGTGTGGGTGAGAAGAGAGCCGCGCGAAGCACCTCGGGGCGCGCGGCTCACCCAAAAATGTGGCGCGTCGGGCGGGCAGCGCCGAAAAGGCCGAAGCGCGCCGGCGCCAGACCCGCGGCTCATCACGCCGCCGCCGCGCGCAGCTGCTCCTGCCACCTTCTCACCGCTCCACCACACCTCGCCCCGCGCAGCCTCTGCTGTCCGCACGCCCGCGCCATGGCGTCCGTCAACAACAAGCTTGCGTTCCTGAACCAGGTGCGTGCCGGGCTGCGTGCTGCTCAGCGGCGCCACTGACAGCCGCCCTGCGCACAGGCGCCGCCGGCCAACTATGTGGCGGGTCTGGGACGTGGCGCCTCGGGCTTCACCACGCGCTCGGACATCGGTCCGGCGCGCGAGGGCCCGAGCCAGGACACGATCAATGCCGCACGCGCTAAGCGCGGCGAGGGCCCCGAGAGCGGCGACGGGCCGGGCCAGGAGGAGGACGCCGACGCCAACCAGGACCCGGAGAACGAGACGGGCCTCTTTGCCGGCACCGTATACGAGCGCGACGACGAGGAGGCAGACCGCATCTGGCAGAGCGTCGACGACAACATGGATGCGCGGCGGCGCAAGCAGCGCGAGGCGCGCGAGAAAGCCGAGCTGGAGAAGTACCGGGCAGAGCGGCCCAAGATCCAGGCGCAGTTTGCAGACCTCAAGCGCGGCCTCAGCGCCGTGAGCGACGAGGAGTGGGCGACGCTGCCCGAGGCGGGCAACCTGACGGGCAAGCGGCGAAAGGCTGCCGCTGCGCGAGCTGGCAACGACCGTACGTACGCCGTGCCGGACAGCGTGCTCATCGGCAATCGCGACCGCACCGCGACGGAGAGCTCGCTGAGCGCCGAGCAGATGGAGGACGGCACGGCGACGGCCATGGGCACGACGACGAGCCTGACGGAGATCGGCGAGGCGCGCAACAAGATCTTCAGCCACAAGCTCGACCAGGCCGGCAGCTCGAGCCGCGCCGACGGCACGGCCTCGTCGCTCGGCACGTCGTCGACCATCGACCCCAAGGGCTACCTCACTGACCTCTCGTCTGTGAATGTCAAGTCCAGCACCGAGATTGGCGACATCAAAAAGGCGCGCAGCCTGCTCGACAGCGTCATCAAGACGAACCCGAAGCACGCGCCCGGCTGGATCGCCGCAGCGCGCCTCGAAGAGGTGGCGGGCAAGATGGCCATTGCGCGCAAGGTCATTGCGCAGGGCTGCGAGAACTGCAAGATGAGCGAGGACGTGTGGCTGGAGAGTGCCCGGCTGAACACGCGCGACAACGCCAAGGTTGTGCTGGCGCGTGCCATCGCTGCGGGCCTCACGACGTCGGTCAAGATCTGGCTCAAGGCTGCCGAGCTCGAGACGGACACGAACAGCAAGAAGCGCGTCATCCGCAAGAGCCTCGAGTACATTCCCAACTCGATCAAGCTGTGGAAGGAGCTCGTCAACCTCGAGGAGTCGCACGAGGACGCGCGGATCTTGCTCAGCGGCGCAGTCGCAGCAGTGCCGGGTTCCGTCGACCTCTGGCTGGCGCTGGCGCGCTTGTCGAGCCCGCAGGAGGCGCAGTCGGTGCTGAACAAGGCGCGCCAGACGCTGCCAAGCAGCCACGAGATCTGGATTGCCGCGGCGCGCCTCGTCGAGCAGACGAGCAACGACGAGGGCAAGGCGGCCGACGAGACGCAGGCGAACCTCGACCGCACGATGGCTACGGCTGTCAAGCGCCTGCAGAAGGCCGGCGCTGTGCTCAATCGCGAGCAGTGGCTCAAGGAGGCGGAGCGCGTCGAGCGCGAGGGCAGTCCGGCGACGTGCGCGGCCATCGTCAAGGCGACGATCGCGCTCGACGTGGAGGAGGAGGACCGGCGGACAGTCTGGGTCGAGGACGCACAAGCATGCGTCGAGCGCGGCTGCATCGAGACGGCGCGCGCCATTCTCGCCTATACGCTGCGCGAGTTCCCCGATCGGCAGAGCATCTGGCGCCTGGCCGTCGACATCGAGAAGAAGCACGGCACGCCGCAGAGTCTCGAAGGCCTGCTGGAGCGCGCCGTGACCATGTGTCCCAAGGCCGAGGTGCTCTGGCTCATCTACGCCAAGGAGAAGTGGCAGGGCGCCGGCGACGTGGCGGCGGCACGGCAAGTGCTCATCCGCGCGTTTGACAAGAACATGGGCTCCGAGGAGATCTCGCTCGCCGCCGCCAAGCTCGAGTCGGAGAACGGGCAGAAGCAGGCGGCCGGCCTGCTCCTGCAGCGCGCACGGCAGGAGGTCAACACGCCGCGCGTCTGGCTCAAGAGCGCTGTCTTTGAGCGCAACGACAGGCGCACGACCGAGGCGCTCGAGCTGGTGCGCGAGGCGCTGAAGCGCTTCCCTACCTTCTGGAAGCTGCACATCATGCACGCGCAGCTGCTCGAGGCCGTCACGCCGCCGGGCGAGGACGGTGCGCACTTCCGCGCCGCGCGCGAGGCGCTTACTGCCGGCCTTAAGGCGTGCCCTACATCTGCGGTGCTCTGGATCAACGCAAGCCGGCTGGAGGAGCGCGCTGGCCTGGCGATCCGCGCACGTGCGCTGCTGGAGAAGGCGCGCCTCAAAGAGTCGGAGGACAAGGACGTGCTCTGGCACGAGGCGGCGTGCGTCGAGGAGCGCTCGGGCAACGCGCCGCAGGCGAAGGCGCTCATTGCGCGCGGCCTGCAAGAACACCCCAAGTCCGGCCTGCTGTGGGCTGCGTCCATCTGGCTCGAGCCGCGAGCAGCACGACGCACACGCAGTGCCGATGCGCTCAACAAGACGGGCGACGACGCGCGCGTCATTGCGAGCGTGGCGCGCATGTTCTGGAACGAGCGCAAGACGGAGCAGGCGCGCAAGTGGTTCGAGCGTGCCACCAAGGCGAACGCGGACTGGGGAGACGGCTGGGCCTGGTGGGCCAAGTTCGAGGCGCAGCACGGCACGGACGACAGCCGGCGAGCGGTGCGCGAGCGCTGCATCCGCGCCGAGCCGCACCACGGCGAGCAGTGGCAGCTGGCGCTCAAGGACCCCAAGCATCCCAACCGGCGCACCGAGGAGGTGCTCGACGTCGTGTCGGCCGCGCTCGTCGTCACGACATAGCCCCGCGGCGGCCGTGCGTCGAGGACCGTGCTCCCATCTCACATGTACACTACACATTCGGCAATCCGTCATCCTCCAGAGCGCGGCGCTTGTTCGCAGTGGAGCTGCTGCGGCAGTCACGCGTGCATTGCGCGTCTAGGAGTGAGAGTGATCGGCGCCGTGCAACCTTGAGCCCGTGTCTAGTGTGTATCCCAAAAGAGTGGTGTGGTGAGGCGTGCGCATCTACTTGTCCTTCGCGCTCTCCTGCTGCTTCTGCTCCTCGCGCTGCTGCTCCTTCTCCTGCGCCACAGCCGCGCCCTCCTCGACGGCGCGCTCGAGCGTGGCCAGCTCGTTCTTGCGCAGTGCCAGTGCCAGCTGCGCACGCGCACGGTCGAGGTCGATGTGGCGCTGGTGGTCCAGCTTGAACGTGCCGACGAGCGCCGGCACGTGGTGTGCCAGCAGCAGCAGCTCGGCGGAGGAAGAGGCGGCCGGCGTCTCTGCCTCTTGTGGCGCTGCTGCCTCGCTCGACTCGCTGGCGCTCGCCTCCGATGCAGATGGCGGCGGCGCAGGTGTCCGAAGCACATCGTCCAGCTCCTTCGACGGCTCTGGCACGATGCGCTTGGCCGCCAGCAGCTCGGATAGGTACGATGAAGATCTGTACGCTGCAGACGAGGTCGCATCAGCACCGCAGCATGGGCGTTGCGAGCTGCCAATGCCAGCTAGTCGCCTGTGCCGCCGCCACTGCCGCCGCTGCCATCTCTCTCGACTCACCACTCCAATGGCTGTAAGCTCGCCACACGAGGTAGAAGAACGGCAGGTTCGGCACGACGGGAATGAGTGCGAACGGCGCCGTGAAGGGCATGCCGACGATGCACCAGATGAGGTACTTGCGGTGGTGCGGCGTTCTTCGCGCCGCAAGCGCAGAGAGGGAGTGCATCACCTGCGCGGAACCGAGACCCGGTGGATGGAGAAGGGAGAGCTAGGCGACGATGTCAGCACTGATGCGGAAAGAGGCGGCAGGGCGGCCCAGGCGCACGAAGGCCCTCCGGCTGCTAGCACAGCAAACAAGGCACACAGTGGCATGCCACACCTTCAGCAGGACGCTGAGGATGCGTGCGCTTGCTACGCCCATTCCGGGTGAAGCTCTTGGGCTCGAGAGCTTAGCAGAGCTCAATCGGTGCGATCGTCGCAGGTCAGGTGACGAATCCCGTGCTCCACCGCACTTGACTCATCACGCACTGCCACCGTCCTCCACCTTCCACCCGCGCTTCCGGCGCCGCACGCCTCTGATGCGACTCACCTTCTCGCCCACGTCGATCTTCTCGCCCTTCGTCTTCGGGCCCAAGCTCGGGTCAATGCCCTTGAGGGCCCACTCCTCATACTCGATGCGGTCCATCAGCCTCTCGCCGGTGACGTATGTGCGGCGCTTCCAGTCGCCGACGCTCTTCTGGCCCGGCTTGCCGAGCCCTGCCCAGAAGTCCGAGGCGCGGGTGAGGAGGCGCGTGGAGAGCGGCGGCGGCCCGTCCTGCACGGGCGCCTTGGCGGGCGGCACGGCGACGAAGGAGAGCAGGGGCGCCGCCTTGGGCGTGAGACGCGCCAGCGGCACGGCGAGCAGCTTCATGCTGGGCGGCGGAGGGTGCAGCGCCACGGGAGATGCGAGTAGGGGCGAGAGTGGGAGGTGCGGCAAAGAGCTGAGCTGCGTGAGGCAGGCGAGAAGGGGCACGGGCGAGGGGTGTGGAGCGGACAAGGACGCTGGCGGCGGCGGCTCGCGAAGAACGACTGGCCTGACTGCGCCGCGGCCTGAGCTGAGTTGCCGGCGGGCCAGAGACGCACCGCATGACGTGTTGGCACGGCGGCGCGCGATGCTGACATAAGCACGCCCAGCACCCTGGGCCTCGAGTGCGGGGTGTGGGTGGAGGCCCGCTGCCCTCCTGCGCCTCTCACCACCACCTCACTCTGGCCCAGCATGACCTCGCCGCCGTCGCGCGAATGCACGCATCTCTACAAGATCCTCACGCCGCAGGAGCACAACGCGCTGCCGCAGCGCGCGTGGAAGGGCACTGAGTTCGACGTGCGTCGTGCTCGCCCCCGCGCTGCTGCCTGCCCTACCTGACACGGTGCGCACGCAGCAAAACGACGGCTTCATCCACCTCTCCACCTCGACCCAGCTGCGCGCCACGCTGTCGCGCTTCTTCGCAGACACCACCGAGGTCGTGCTCGTCTGCATCCCGCGCGAGAAGCTCGAGCGCCACGATGCCGGCGAGCTCAAGTTCGAGCTGGCGCCGAGTGTGGGCGACGAGTTCGGGCACATCTACGGCGTGAGTCTCTCGCTGGCTGCAAGGGCAGGGTGGCAGAGTGCTGATGTATGCGAGCAGACGATCGAGCCGCAGCACTTCCTCTGGACGCGCGCCGTGCACCAGGCGGACGGATCGTGGGAGGAGTCGCGGCTGGGCGAGCTGCCGTTCTGAGAGACGAGGCACAATGTGACATTGCAAAAGCAAGAGGGTGGTGCAGAACAAGCAAGAAGACGCCAAGATGAGCGGAGCGTTGTGACGAGTGTCTGAGAGAGGTGAGTGGGTGCAGACGAAGCAAGCTGGGAGGAGCGCAGAGCAGGGCGTGAGGGGTGAGGCGCGACGCGAATGGATCCGGAGCGGCGTGGCGCTCGATGACGGCGGGGCCGGAAGGCATGACGCTCTAGACGAGCGCAGCGCTCAGCATCTTGCGGCGGCTACGAGTGGCGATGGCAGAGCCGGCAGCGGATGGTGTAGTCGGCGGGAGTGCGGCGCTGAGCTTGGGCGCCGAGTGCGAGCCGCTCGGCTGCTTTGCGCCGCTGCTCGCCGGCGGCGCCTTCAGCTTGTACGGGCTGCTTGAGCGACGAGTGCGTCCGTTGCGCCCTGCGGGGAGGTCCCATGCCACCGTGACGTTCTCGCTTGCCGCGCGCAGCACGCCGTACCCGCGGCCGCTGGCGTACGAGGAGGGAGCGCCGAATGCGAAGACGGTGAGGATGCCGGGTGAGATGGTGGGCGAGTCGGCGATGCCGAGCTGGCTCGCCTGGAGGAAGGGGGACGTCAGCCAGGGGCGGGGTACGCACCACGTCGGGCTTCGTAGCAAGCTTGAGCGACAGCGCCGGCTCGCGCACGGGAGAGCAGACGACCTCGATGCCCTTGGAAACGCGCTCGACGTCACGCTGCAGCGCTGAGACGAGGAGGCGGTCGTGGCAGATCTGTGGAGCCAGGACGATGTGAGCTGAGGCGAGCCACGAAGGTGCTCTGAATAGCTCACCGAGCCCCAGCGATAGACGCGCTGCGTCTTGGTCGACTTGACTGCGCCGATGCTGCCAGCCGCGGCGATGAGTAGGCGTCACGGCGCAGTGCGTTTCTCGCGACACACCTGGCGAAGGCCTTGAGCACACTGCTTCCCGCCTCGATGGCGAGGAAGTCTCGCACTTCAAAGCAAGCGCGCAGGTCCGAGTAGCAGCCCTCGCTGAGCTTGGCGCGCGCAGCGGGCGTGCTGACGTCGAAGCCGAGGCAGGCAAGACGGAACACGAGCACCGCGATGATGTCGTGCACGGTCAGCCAGACGTCGCCGTTCCAGCGGAGACAGTTGATGCGCGAGTCGGCCGAGGAGGCGTGCCACAGCGAGGCGGTGATGTAGGAAGGCGGGAGAGCGAAGGAGTGCACGGTGAGCGCATCGCAGAGCGCTGCCGCCGATGACGGCGAAGAGGTGCTCTTGGTGGCGCGACGCGAGTGCTGGCGCTCGAGCACAAGGCTTGCAGCCTGTCCCGCGACAGCAGAGGGCGTCGAGACGAGCAGGTCACCTTCCTCGGCTGCGCGTCGAAGCGATGTGTTGCCCACGTCTGCGCCGAGCGTCACGCCGTAGTCGGAGAGGCGAGTGGCGCGCAGGACGTCGGGCGCGGTGGCAAGCCAGTGCTTGAGCTGCCGATGCGCCACAGCCCACGGGAAGCGCTGGGCGCCGTGGTCGAAGTCGCTCGACACAGCAGGCGACGACGCAGCGGCACGGCGAGGGCGAGCGATGGGCTTGCTACGAGTGTCCACGCCGCCGCAGTCGGCCGTGTTCGAGACGTCGCTCAGCTCGCTGAGTGACTCTGCAGGCGAGGGCGGCGACATGCTTGAGTTCGTGAAGGCGAATTCGTTGATGGACGTAGAGTAAATGCGCTTGGTGTCGAACGGCCGGAGCTCAGACATGCTACGAGCGGCGTCGAGCTCCATGTCCGACACACGCCGCGTCGTGCGGATCGGCGAGGCGAGCGTCCAGTCGGCGAAGAAGAGGTCGCCCTCGCTTGTCGGCGAGGGAGGTGGCGATGGCTCGTACGTGGAGCGCAGCGAGGAGACCGATGTTGCCTGGCGGGCAGAGGGTGAGCGACAGGACGTGACGAGAGCGGACGAGGCATGCTCACTCGGCTGCGCCGGGCCGAGAAGTCGAACGTGTTGAGCGCAAATGCCGAGTAGGCGTCTTCACGGGCGCGAGAGGCGGGAGAGGGCACGTAGCTCGACGCCGAGCTGCCGCCGTAGCTGACGTCGCTGGCGCCGGCGCGCTGCCAGTGGATGTAGTCGAGCGAGCCGCAGGAGAAGCTCGAGCGGTCGGGCGAGAGGTTGCTCAGGCCGAGCGCCGACGGCGCGCCGGAGAGATGGGCCTGCGGCGACGGCAGCGCGCAGAGGAGGTTGAGGTCGAGGTGTCGCTCTGCGCCGAGGCGCGACGGCGGCGAGCAGGCGGCGCTGGGGTGGGGTGCAAGAGATGCGTCGCCGCGCTGCAGCTCTGGTGTGCGGCGTCAGCAGGGGCGCGAGTGGCAGGCGACGTGTGGCTCGACTGACCGGGGCTGAGCGACATTGCTGGCGTCTGTGCAGGTCCGAGAGGGTGCGGAGCGAGAGGGAGAGAGGAAGAGGTCCAGAGTAGACAGGCGGGCAGACGGGCAAGATTGGTAGAGATGTGGGGGTGAGGAGGGAAGATGCGGCGAGAGAGGCCTTATGGGGCCAGCCGGGGCGAGGGCGAGGGCTGGCGCGCACGCTCGTCAGAGTGCAGTGCTGCTCCCGAGCCCCGCCGGCACTGCGTCCTCTCGCTGCCTGCTCCTGCTGCGCTGCTCCCTCGAGGCCTCTCAACCGCGCCAGGCCGGCCACGACTGTTGCGCCTCATCGCATCTGAAGAGCAGCCTTGCGCAGCGTCACAGATTCACCCGTGCTGCTCTCCGGCCTCTCTGACCACTCTTGCTGCTCTCACTACGCTTGCTCTCTCCCTCTCTCTCGCTTGCCTCGCTCGCTCGCAATCTGACCTTAATGACGCCTCCGCAGCCGGGCAAATCTCAGCGCTCTAGGATGCTGCGCCGCAGCGTGCCGTGATGACCTCGTGGGCGTGCGTGGGCGATCGGGCACGCCGCTCGTCACGCACGTCACCGTGACGCAGATGCAGGGCTCTATATGAGGTGCACCCAAGCTTCACTCAACGCCGCTTTGGGCACACTTACCGGCTTGCGGCTCACACGCTCGGCTGCGGAGCCGAGAAAACGTGCATCAGGGGCGCTGAGCTGCGCAGCGAGTCCTGCCAGGGCACACCCGCACCCTCTCGCATTCTCGCGTCGACGCGGCTCTCAAGTCGTAGCGGCACACAACATGAGCTCTGCACGGCGCTCGGGAGAAGCAGCATGCAGCGACGGCGAGGACGAGGACGACCGCGGCCAAGCCGAAGGGCTGGCAGGCGCGCGTCATGGGCCGCCGGCCCCCTGAGCACGGCGCACCACGCGGACGCCAAGACGCGGCAAACCCTTTCGCTGCGCCGCCGCCGGCTGCGCTCGGCTCGTGCTGCGCGTGCGTCGCTGCGCGCGCTCGCGGCGTGCCTGCGCGTCGTCTGGCAGCTCGTCCAGCGCCCTGACGCTGCGTGACGGCCCGGCAGAAGAAGGGAGCCGGTCGCTCATTCGTTGTGATGAGCTGCGCTCGCAGTATATTGCACTGCAGCCGGCAACTCCGCAGCTCCGTCTCGCACGAGATGCCGGAGCGCAGCACGCAGGCGAGAGGCGCCGGCAGAGCAATGTGATGTGATGTGTGCGCGCGAGCGGGCGCGCCGCAAATAGCGCGTGGGCGATGTGGCGCCGCATCTCCTCGTGGCCAAGTGAGGGATTCAAGCGGCAAGGCCTGCTGCGTGGTACGAGAATGTGTGTGGCAGCGGCAGCAGGACTTACCCTTGGCACTCCCGAGACTGGCTGGCCCACTAGACAGGCAGGCAGCAGCATGGCAAGAGTGCAGCAGCGCTTGCAACGGCGACAAAGACGCGCTCAAGGGCACGGCTCTGCGTTGCACGCTCGGCGGCAAGGCTCGCACGCAATGCATTACTAGAAGGAGCATGAGTATACGAACTAAGCCGCCGCGCTGAAGAGGAAGAAAAGACTCGCGCCGCACGAAACATCCGGGCAGCTCGTCACAAGCCGCGCTCGTCGGCGTGCTCGGTGGTGACGTGCTCGACGATGTTGAAGTCGACCGACAGCGGACGTGTCATCTGCGGGCGCTCGGCGGCGACGAGGAAGAACTCGTCGTCCTCCTTCTCGTCCGCGCAGACGCTTGTCTCGGCCGCCTCAAGCGTCTTCTGCAGCTGCTGCTGCATGTCGAGCTGCAATGACGAGCTCCTCCTTGCGGCGACTTGCGTTTGGACGTCATCAGGCGAGAGGTGCTGTGCGAGCAGCTCGCGCACGCGCCCAGAGAAGCGCTCAGCGACGCACACGAGCATCGGCGCGCCCTCGAGCGTCTCGAGACGGAACTCTGCGTTCGAGAGTGCCGCTTGCAGTGCCTGCGAGCGCGGTGGTTAGCCAATCGATCGAGGAGCGTCTTGCGGAGCGCCTCACCGGAATGCTCTCTTTCCACGCCCGCTCCACTTCGCTGCCTGCAACGACGAGCACCCTCGCCTTCACGTCCGCCAGACTAGCAGGGCACGCCGGCCCTCCACGGCTCCGTTCCGCCTCAAGAAGCTGCACGAGTGCGCGCATCTCGTTCCACTCGTGCGCCTTGACGACCCAGCGAGAACACCAATGCGAGAGAATGAGGGACTCGAGATGACGGGGCCAAGGATGCTCGTCTGCGACGAGGAAGCTATCAGCAATCGTGCTCTACCGATGCCTGTGGGCTTGCCTGCTGCTTCGCGGCCACTCACTCATGAAGTGATGTCTAAGGCCGTCCGATGCGCCTCTCGGCAGCACCAGGCGATGAGCATTCTTCTCGAGCTCCAGTTGCCCCGCTCCGCTTGCATCGTCGGCCTTCCAGAACGCCCGTGCCTCGCGACGGTAGTGCCACCACTCGTCGAAGACCTCGTCGACGTCGCGTGCCAGCTGCTCGTCCTGCGCGGGAGACGACGTATGAGCCTAGATGGGTTCGCTGTTGAGGGGAGGCAAGGCAGGAAGGTCAGGGACGCGACTCACGGTGAGTCCGAGTGCGAGCGGCGAAATGAGCATGACTGTCTCGACGACGTCGCCAAGCAGCGCTGCCATGACAAGCGTCGACATGGCCGACATGCTGCACCCGACGAGATGCAGCTTCTCGCTCTTGACTCCCTGCGCCAGCTCCTCGTCGTTTGGCAGGTACGCGAGCGTGCGCAACGCAGCGAGAATGTCCTGCGCTACAAACGAGACGGCATCGGGCGGCAGTGCGGTAGGTGCGGCAGCGAGCGACAGTGCGTGCTCCGGCACCTGCACGCCGAACTCGTAGAGGAGGACGTTGAAGGCGGCGAACGCCGGCGACGAGGCGAGAGAGTCGTACACGACGGCCGTCTGCAGCATCTCGGAGCTGTGGTGTGCGTGAGCGTCGGCTGCGAGACTGCTGCGATGCGCACAACGCACGGGAGGAACAGCAGCGTCGGCTTGTCCGGCGGCACGTATGACTCGGGCGTTGGTGCTGGCCCGTCTCCGGGGATGTACGCCGCCATGTGCCCGCTGAAGACGGGATTGAGCATCTCTTCGGCGGAGCGCGGCATCGGCGGGTAGTGCAGAAGCGGCATGTTGGACCGGACGCGTGAGGATGGGGTGTGCGAGAGGGAAGCAAAGAAGGGGAGAGAGAGGAGATGGCGGTGAGAGGCACGTGCGGTGGCAGTCTAGTGGCCCCTCTTGCCGGCCCGCTGTCAATGGCCGAGCTGTCTTGCCGAGGTGCCCCCTCTCACCCTTCGCCCTACACTGCCGGCCTGCCGTGAGCTCTCCGTTCGGCGGCGGTGCTCCTCCTCTGTGGCACTCCACTCGTGCGAGAGGATCGGGAGTGAGTCAAAGTGGCAGCAGCTTCAGGGGGTGGGGCGCGGAAGGAAGGAAGCGATCGAGGCGAGCGGCAGCTTCTGCTCGGCGGCTGCACAACCATGAACACGGCCCGGTGTTGTGCAGCTGGCTGTGCGCAGCAAGAGTTGCCGAGGTGTGCGAGTCCAGAGGAGAGCCGGAGCATCGCGATAGCGGCACGTCACGCCTCGCGGCGGCGACAAGCTCGAGGAGGGAGGCGGTGAGGCGCGCAGTAGCACGTCGCGCCGCCGCCGCCGCTTGCTGCGCCACGCCGCGCCCGCGCCGCAGCGCCGCATTCCTCGGCTGATGCCGCCTTCGCTCGCAGCACAGGCCGTGACTTGTTCAATTGCGTGACTCGCTCCCCACACCACCCGCTCGGCCCTCAGAAGTGACTGACGCCCTCGCTCTCCATCTTGCCCATCTTCTTGCTCTGCTGGCCCGCGATGCGCTGCGCCAGTCGCGCGTCAGCACGCAGCACCGCATGCGCTGCCCTCCGGAGCTCACCTTCACGCGTCCGAGGCCATCTTGCGCATTCTGCGCGACCCACTGCAGCGAGCGGTAGCCCTTGATCTGCGCAGCGCCCTTGTGCTGGCGGTGCAGGGCGCTGCAAGGAGGGTCAGCACCGGCCGAGTGACGACAGCAGCTTGCCCTGCGCTCACCGCTGCCGGGCCCGTCGGCCCTCGGGCGTCGTGTCGTCCTCATCCTCGTTGACCTCGTTGTTGCCCTCCTCCCACTCGCGGTCCGACTCCTCGCCCTCCTGCTCCTCGCGCTCCTCCGGGCTCATCAGATCGGGGTTGACAGCCGCGGCAGCCCTGTGCTTCGAGCTGGCCTCCGCCGCGCCCGTGTCGACGCGCAGCGCGTTGCCCGACGTGCTCGCCTCGCTGCCGTAGCTCCGATCCGGGTCCTCTTCCGACAGGCGCGGCTCGTCTTTCACATGCGCCAGCGAGAGACTGCGCCGCAGCGCCGGACTGAGCTTGGCCGGCTTGGCACGCTCGCCGCCGTCGATACCGGCGAGAAACGTCTCGAAGGCGTAGCGCAGCTCGTTGTCTGGCGTTAAGAGGTGTCAGCGTGCGCAGCAGGGGCAGGCTCATCTACACGCACCCCCGGCGACGAGACTGCGGTGCTCCTGCGCGATGCCGGCGTGGTAGACAAACGTGAGATCGACGAAGCCGACGTGGCGCAGCGTCTCGCTCTCCGGATGCTCGTTTGAGTCCGTGGCAGCGATCATCTCGTCGAGCACGGCGCGTTCGGCGCCCTTCTCTACGCTCTGCGGCGGCGGGTAGCGACCCAGTGCATGCTGCTCGATCTCCTGCCACTCGGCAGAGGCAAAGAGCTGCACGCGCTTGAAGACGCCCTCGCCGTCGGCGATGCGGTTGAGCGGGATGGCGCCGTGCGCGTGCTTGTGCCGGCGGCCGGGCACGCGCGAGTCGCTGCGGAGGTGGATGTAGAGGTAGGACGGGTAGCGCTGTCAAGAACGTCAGCGGGTGCGCAGAAAAGAGCTGAGCTCGCAACTCACCTGCCGCACGGGTAGGCGCAACGACTGCTGCAGCGGATAGTCGTAGCCAATCGTGGCGCCAGCAGTGCCTTCGGCGTGCGGCTCCTTGGTCTCTGTCTCCGCGGTGCCGCCGACGGTCTCAAAGTACAGCTGGGCAGGACGGCCATCGTCGACGTCGGCGAGCTGCAGGCCCGACACGCGTGCAGCGCTGATCTCCAGCACGCCGACATTCCAGCCGGACAGCGCACGCGGGACCCGCAGCTCGACGGAGCGCCACACGAGGCTCAGGCGGATCTTGCCGAAGCCGAGGCCGCCGGTCAGCGTGTAGTAGCCCGTGCTGCGGCTGCTCTCCTTGAGCACGTCGGCGATGCGCAGGCCCACGAGGCCCAAGATGGGGTCCGCCTCGCGCATGCGCTGGTCGCGCACGACAAAGTCGAGGCGCGCCGTCTGCCAGTTGGTCACCCAGCGTTCCGCGCCGGCGTTGATGAAGGGGCGCGGATCAAGCGCCTTGGTGCGCGTGCGGAAGATGGCCTCGTCGTTGAGGAAGACCTGCACGTACGAGCTGGGGAACTTGGGCGTCGCCTTGTTGCCCGCCGCTTCGTCGGAAGTCGTGTAGCGCGGCTTCTTCTCGAGGCGCTTGCTGTTGTTGAAGTTGCGCTGCGTGGTCGGCACCTCGAGCCCGTCGATCGAGTGGATGTGGAACGCGAGGATGCCGGCCGGCCACTCGGGCTGCGGCGCCGACGTCGTCGCGTCGTTCTCGCCCTCGATGAGGGCCTTGAGGCGGGCGACACGCTCGGCACGCTCGGCGCGGGAGCGCATCACGGCGTCGTCGAGTGGGAAGCCCATGCGCACGACGAAGCGGTCGAAGGCCGTAAGCAGGTGCTCTGGGATCGGCGCGTCATCCTTCTTGTCGTCGTAGCTCGCCGAGTCCGGCAGCGAGAGAGGGGTCTTCTCGGCGCCTGCAGAGGATGGGGCGTTGCGCGCCGCCTGGCGCAGCAGGTCCTGCCGGTGTGCCGAGCGGCCGCCACTGGTCGGCTGCGCAAGCCGGCAGAAGGCGACTGAGTACCGCAGGCGGCCTGATGTGACGGCACCGCGGCGAGGCGGCACGAGCGGGTCGTCGCGGTCCTCGATGAGCGATGGCGCGTCGGCATCGCTCTCCTTGTGCAGGCTGCGGCGGATGAGCCGCGCGATCGACACATCGACGTGGCCCAGCTCGTCATCGCTGCTGAAGCGATCCGCATCGAAGACGCCCAGCCGCATGCGCTCGTGGTCGCGCACCTCGTCCGGCCCGACGAGCAGGAAGGCCGTCTCGCCCCACACCGGGTTGACCGTCTTGACGAGCACGCGGCTCATGTAGAGCGGCTTGCCGGCGCGCGCAAATGAAATCTTGATGAACGGATCGCTCGTGCCGCCGACGTCGGCAGCTGGGAGGTCTGTCGCGCGGTGCAGGACGACCACGAGCACGCCGAGCGCGTAGACATTCTGCGGGCCGTCGGCGGCGCTGAGCAGCGCGCCAGCATCGATCGAATCTGCGAATGGGTCAGTCTCCACCGCGATGGGCCTCCTCTGCTCCCTGACTCACACGACTGCGGCGCGATAAAGTCCCGGATCACCGCCTCGATGGACCGCAGCACGTACGACGAGATGAGCGGCAGGTTCATGGCGTCAATGACCATGCGCCGGCCGAGCGGCTTGGCCGAGATCTCGATGCGCGGCGCGCCGACGAAGCAGAACGCCACGTGCTTGACAAACGGCGCGGCGGGCGTGAGCTGCAGGCGCAGACGCATTTTCCCCTCGATGCCCAGCATCTCAATCCACACGGGCACTTCGACGGCTGCGAGCTTCTGCAGGCCGATGGCCATGTAGATGAGCAGGCTGGAAAAGGTCAGCAGGTGCAGCGTGAGCGCCAACAGTGGCAGGCTCACTGGATCTGCTCCGCCGCGCTGCTGTCGATCTCCTCATCCTCGATGCCCGCCGCCTCGCTGCCGAGCCCCTCGGCCTTGTTCGAGCTCGCCATCTTGCGACGCGCTCTCGGCGCGCGGTACGCGAAGCTGACCTCGAGGTTCTGCGCAGCGTCAGCCCTGCCGCATTGGGCGCATCTTCACGCTACTCACGACAAAGTCGCCCACGTCCGACAGCGTCTCTTCCGCCTCGCTGACGTTGTGCTTGGCATCCGCGCCGTGCAGGAAGGCCTCCTCGTGCGAAGGCAGCCGCGTAAAGCCCACGATGCGCAGCGGAATCGTGCCCTGGTCCAGGCCGTCGACGCGGCAGCCATGCACGATGCCGGGCACCTGCTGCATCAGGGCATCCTCCAGCAGGTCGACGAACGGCACAAAGTAGTCCGTCGAGATGAGCGGCCACACAACGCCCAGCACGTGGTTGATCCACTCGGCGCTCTCGGCGTTGTGAGGTTGCGACTGCAGAGGCTCAGCGTGTGCAGGACCTGACACGTCTGGCGACTCACCTCGCGAGTGGCCGTCTCGCGCTCCCACGCGCTGTCGCGCGCCGCAATGTCGAGCTTGGAGAGCAGCAGATGCGCACCCACGCCGATGGCCATCAGGCCGACGCTCCAGTGCAGCAGGCGGCTGAGCAGCTGTGCCGCCAGCGCCGTCGCCACAAGCGTGCCGACGATGAGCTGCCGCTGCGCTGTGATCGGGTTCATGCCCGCCAACTGCGCGACAGCGTGTGCAGCCCGCGCCACGACGGGCGGCGCCTGGCCCACGCTCGCGGCGCTGGCGCTGCTGAAGTTGCGCGCGTGGCCCGGCCGGCCTCGCGCCGCCGAGTCCTGGATGTCTGCCGCGCCGCCCTGCGCCGGCTCGCTGGCGGGGTCAAAGGCCGTGCTGTCGTCGCTGCTCGGCGCCCAGCCCGCCGGCGCGCTCTCCGTGTGCCGGTGGCCCTTGAGCTTAGACGAGAGGCGGCTGCGCAGGCCGGAGAGCGTGCGCGTGCTGCCTGTCCCGCTGGCCGTCGTGCGGAAGGACGCGGCGCGGGCGGGGCTGTCGAGCGCCACGTCGGGCGGCGCGGGTGTGGGCGTTGGTGTCGACATGGTGTGGTGGTGAGAAGCAAGGTGCGGAGAGGAGGGCTGCGCCCATCAGGCGGGTGGAGGCGCGAGAGGCACGCCGCGGTTACGCCCTGCGCCGCGAATAGAGCTCGGCCGCGGCGCAGCAGAGAGCGAGAGCACGCACGCCGGCGCACAGCCTCAAAGCGCAGATGAGGCGAAGCGGCATGACGGCACGCCGCGCGTGGCTTGCAGCTCGCGACGTCGGCTCGGCACGGCGCGAGAGCAAGCCTGATCCAAGGCTCGGCGCTAGCTCATGCCTCCGGCACGCAAGGCCGCACCGGATCCTCTCAAGGGGCCGTGCCGGCCACGCTGACGAGCACAAGGGCGGCTTCCAGCGCTCACAGAGAGGCATGCTGGGGCCTGCCGAGGCCCAAGCTGCATCGAGGTCGGCAGCGAGCAAGGCGGCAATTCCTCGCAGCACGGAGTCGCGAGCGGCATCGGGCGTGGTCTGTGCGCACCGGCTGCGCAGACAAAGGCAACCCGCACCGCGCGGCGCGCGCCGCGCCGCCGTCGGCCTTGTCCTCATCCTCGACGCATCGCGCCCTCGTCAAGGCCGTATCGCGGAAATTGGGGCGCCCTTTGCAAGGCCGAGGCAAGGCCGCGGCAGGGCGTTCGGCCGAGGCTGCTGCTGCGCTCACGGCGCCGGAGTGTCGCGCGCCGCGGCGCCCATCCATGACTGCCTCCACCACCCCTCGCCATGTCCGCGTCCCCGGCGCCTCGCGCCGTGCTGCGTGACGATGCGCTGCTCGACGCTCTTGATGCGAGCGCTCAGGACGCCGCAGCCGTCGCTGCCAGTGGCCTGCCTCTGAACGGAGACTCCACCGCACCGGCGACAGCGGCAGCGCGCCTCTCGGCCACGGCCCTGACGCCGCGCCAGTACCAGTGGCAGCTGTTCGAGAGGGCGCGCGAGGGCAACGTCGTCGCCGTGCTCGACACGGGCGCCGGCAAGACGCTCGTGTCCGTGCTGCTGCTGCAGCATGTGCTCGACGAGGAGACGGCGCGCGTCGAGAGCCTCGCTGCCGTGGCGGATGGCGCACCGCCGCTGCGCCGCCGCACATCCGTCTTCCTCGGTCAGTCTGGCAGAGAAGGCCTTTCGCACCAGCCGCTCACACAGGCCGCAGTGAACCAGGTGCCGCTCGTCCACCAGCAGGCGCAGGTCATCAGCGACAACTCGACGCTCAGCGTCGGCAAGCTCTTCGGCGAGCTCGGCGTCGACACGTGGTCCGCACCGCAGTGGGCCGAGATGATGGGCGGCCGCTACGACGTGCTGGTCGCGACGGCGCAGTGCGTGCTGACGGGGCGTGAGTGCAGCGGTGTTCCATCATCAGGCAGTGCTGACACGTGCGCAGTCATCCATGGCTTTGTGCGCATGGCCGACCTGGCGCTCGTCATCTTCGACGAGGCGCACCACGCTGCTGCCACGCACCCGTACGCGCGGATCATGGTGAGCCGCAGAGGGCATCACAGTGATGCCTTGCTCACGCTCGCACGCAGTCCTGCTATCGCGCCGCCGATGGCGCACACCTGCCGAAGATCTTCGGCATGACGGCATCGCCGCTGAAGAGCAGCTCCAGCTTCGAGGAGGCGGCGTCGGACCTCGAGGCGATGCTCGACGCGCGCATCTTCACGGCGCCGCTCTCGGCGCGCCTCGAGCTCGCCGAGGCGGTGCAGAAGCCGCGCGAGCTGGTGGTGGAGTACGACGCGCCGCCGGCGATGCCGCCGAGTCAGCTCACGAAGCTCATCGAGGAGTCGTGCGGCCATCTCGATGGCATCGAGAAGGTGCTCGACCGCATCGAGTACACCAACGCCGAGCTCGGCCCGCTGATGGCCGACCTGGCGTGGGTGGCCTCGCGTGCGGACTTGCGCGCCAGTGCCGAGCGCAACGAGCGTCTGGCGCGCATGCCTACGGAGCAGCTCGAGCTCGAGCTCATCAACCGGCGCTGGCGCGGCGGCAGTGCCCCGCTGGCAGCGCCTGGCGCCGCGGAGGCAGCAGCACCGGCAGACCCTGAGCGCAGACAGAAGCTGCAGAGCAAGGCGGCGCTGAACCGGGCCATCTCCGACGTGCTGGCACGCGTGCCTCTGCCCGAGCAGCTCACCGTGACGGAGGCTAACTCGTGTCCCAAGGTTCATCGGCTGCTCGAGGTGCTGGCGTGCTTCGGCGTCAACACGCACGTCGCCAGCTCGCTCTGCGGCATCATCTTTGTTGCGCGGCGCACAACGGCCGTGGCCCTCGTGGAGCTCATCCGGCGCCTGCCGCAGCTGAGCTTCATCTCGGCAGAGTGGCTCGTGGGCCACAACCCTGCGGCCGACATCGGCATGAGCTGGCAGACGCAGATGCACGTGCTGGAGCGCTTCCGCAGCAAGCGCACGAATCTGCTTGTCGCGACGACGGTGGCCGAGGAGGGCCTCGACATCCGGTGAGCCGGGCGTTCAACGTGGCGAGTGCGGGTCACTGACACTTGCGCAGCTCGTGCAATCTCGTTATCCGCTTCGACATGTTCGACACGCACATTGGCTTTGTGCAGAGCCGCGGGCGTGCGCGCCACCCGGACAGCCGGATCATCGTGCGTGGAGGGAAGTGAATGCGCGTGCGCCGTGCTGACGCTTGCGCACAGATGATGCTGCAGCGCGAGCACGAGGCGTCACTGAAGACGCTGCGCGCCGTGGCACGCGCCGACGGCGAGACGAAGGAGTGGTTGCGCAATCTGCCGGCCGACCGCCTGGCCGAGCTGGCCGTCGACGAGGATGGACAGGACACGCCGCCCGAAGAGCACGTGTGGCTCGACTCGGAGGCCACCGGCGCGCGCCTGTACCCGTGAGTGGACTAGCCGAGATGCTCGCAGCGCCGCTGACTCCTGTTCGCAGCGCCGACGCCATCCCGCTCGTCTGCCGCTACGTCGCCATGCTGCGTCAAGACGAGTACTCGCCGATGACACCTGACTTTACCGTTCTGGCTCTCGACGAGGGCTTCATGGCGACACTCAAGCTGCCCGCCAACGCCAAGGTGCGCAGCGTGGTCGGGCCGCTGGCGCCGCGCAAGAAGAGCGCCAAGCGGCTCGCGGCGTTTGAGGCGTGCTGTGCGCTGCGCAAGATCGGCGTGCTCGACGATCACCTCGTGCCGCGCCTGCCGCCCAAGCCGGGCAAGGAGCTGCCGTTCGAGCGCAACGAGCAGGGCGAACTGCTCGGCACGCGCTCGCGCCAGGTCGCTCACTTTCTCAAAGACGCCGCGCCGTTCGGCATTCTCGCTGAGGGTGACCTGCAGATGCATGCCACGCTGCTGCGTGTGCCGCGCCACCAGGCGGGCAAGTCGTTTCGCGACTTTTGCATGCTCACCAGCGCGCCGGTGCCCGCCATTCCCTCGTTCAACCTGCTCTTCCACGAGGGACCGCTGCCGTTCGCCGGCGTCGATGGCTCGACAGTCATGAGTCTCTCCCGCGAGGCTGCCGCCAACGCGCGCGAGTATACGATGCGCCTGGTGCGCTACATGACGCGCCGGAACTGGACGTGCGAAGCATTCCCCTTCTATCTCGTGCCGTTGGTCGGCGGCGGAAGCGCTGCGACGGATGTGGACTGGGAGGAGGTCGCCCGCGGCGGCTCCCCCGGCGACGACGTGCAGCTGCTCGCCGATACCGATCTGCTACCAAAGCGTGGCTCGCAGCTCGATTCGCTCGCCGATCGTGTGCTAGCCGAGTCGCCCAATGTCAACTCGACGCCGCTGTATGAGGCGACTGGCCTGCGCTCCGACCTCAACCCACACTCGACGCTCGACCCAGAGCGCGACGCGCACATGCGCGAGGCCCAGGCCGGCTCGTACGCAGAGTACAACACCAAGACGTTCTGGAGCACGCGCACGCCGCCGGGCGAGCCCAGCGCGACCGAGCCGCTCATCAGCGTGGAGAAGCTCGGCCGCGTGGAGAACTTTCTGTCGTCGAGCGTGAAGCGACATGGCCAGTCCAAGGTGCGTCCAGAGGCCCAACGCAGTGGCCCATGGCTAACCTGTGCAATCTGCAGCGGTCGAGCGCCAGCCTCTTGATCCCGTCGCGCAGCTGGCTGCACCGCCTGGGTGCCGCTGCGATGCGCTCCTCGCTGGTGCTGCCATCGATCCTGACGCGCATGGAGCAGTTTGTGAGGCGCACAGAAGACCGGACAATCGCGGCAACACTGACGCCAGCCACCTCTTAGGTTCTTGCCCGTGAGGCAAACCGCCTGCTCCTTCGCTCACGCCTCGACGACACGTATCTGCTCGTGGCGCTCACGGCGCCGTCGGCAAAGCAGAGCTTCACATACGAGCGCAAGGAGTTCCTCGGCGACACGGCGCTGAAGGTGCGTGATGCTTGACGACTGATCTGCACCAGGGCTGACCACCCTATCAGCTGATTGCGACGTGCTATGTCTTTGCGAAGCGGCCCGACGATGCCGAGGGCGCGCTCGATCTCGCGCGCAAGGAGATCGTGGCGAATGCCGTGCTGATGCGCATTGCCGAGCGCCACGAGCTCTGGCGCTACGTGGTGAGTACAGCGTGGCATTGGGTATGTGCTGCAGCTGACGCAGCACAACAGCACGTGCAGGACCTGTCGCGCAAGATCTACCGGCCCTCCAACTTTGTGCTCGTTCCTAATGTTCTGCAAGACGCAGCAGCCGAGGCAGCCCCCGGCGCAGACAGCGAGCAAGCCCCAGAAGCAGCCTCCGAGCAGGTCTCGGAGACAGCCACGGGCCCTCCTCAGCTCGACGCGATGGACACGGCGGGTTCAGTCGGCCGCGAGAAGGTCACGAGCGAAAAGACGCTGGCGGACCTGGTCGAGGCGCTGCTGGGCGCGTCGCTCGAGACGGGCGGCATCGACAGCTGTCTCCAAACGGCGAGCGACCTCGGCGTGCTCCCCGAGCGCATTGAAAGCTGGGCTAAACTGCAAGCCGTGCACAGCGCGCAGCTCTCCAGCGACGGCCTCGAGGGCGAGCGCGTGAGCCTCGGCGCGCTGCGCAAGCTCGAGGCATGGCTGCAGTACATCTTCCGCTCGCCGCACCTGGCGCTTGAGGCGCTTACCCACCCGAGCCTGCTGGCGAGTGCGCTGCCGAGCTTCGAGCGCCTCGAGTTCCTCGGCGACGCGATCCTTGACTTTTTCGTCGTCGAGCACTTTCGCATCACGTATCCGGAGCTCGACGAGGGCGGCCTGACGGTGCTCAAGGTGAGTAGGACGAAGGGTCGTCGGCGCGAGGTGCTGACCGTCGTGCTGCAGTCCAATGCCGTCTCGAATGCGGCACTTGGCGCACTGGCCGAGTCGACTGGCCTGTACAAGGTGCGTGCCACCGAGAGCACGCCATCATGCTCTCCCGCTGACGCCCGGCGCAGTTCCTTCAACATGCGCAGCCAGATCTGACGCAGGCGATCGTCGAGTTCACCTCGGAGTGCCGGCTGCGCCGCGAAGCTGAGGAGCGCCAGGCTCACGAGGCACGCACGCAGTACTGGTGAGCCGCTCGCTGGCACCCGCCTGCGCTTTGCTCACATCCTTGCAGGCACGGTCTGGCGCCGCCCAAGGCCATTGCGGACATCGCCGAGTCGCTGCTCGGCGCCGTCTTTGTCGATGCGGGCTTCAGCCTCGCCGCGGCGCAGGGCGTCTTCGACCGCTTCTTCCTGCCGTTCGTCAAGCGCTACGTGTCGCCGGCGACGACCGTCATTGCCTCGTCGAAGACACTGGCGAGCATGCTGCACTCGCGCGGCTGCACCGACTGGCTCGTCGATTTTGTCGACGGGCCGAGTGCGCCCGCCGAGACGCCGCTGGTGGGTCTGTTCGGCAGCGCACCGCAAGGCGGCACCAGCGTGGTGCGCTGTCGCCTCGTCTGCCATGGCAAGGTGCTGGCCGACGCAACGGGCAAGAGTGACTTCGCTGCAGCAGCTGTGCGTTCCGCGCTGACAGCCGCGCACAGGCCGCAAGGCCGCGATGATGGCGTCCGCACAGCTTCTGGAGGCCGAAAGTGAGTGCCTGCCGAGTGTTTGTTGCCCTGCGGCCCACTGACTCGCCCTAGACTTTGCGGCGCTCGATGCGCTTTGCGACTGCCGCAAGAAGGGAGCAGCACGCGAGAACTGAGGTCCCTCCACCGGCGCGCAGGCCGCGCCGGGCGGCGACGAGAGCGAGTAGGCGCAGGATGGACACGAGGCGTCACCGTCACCATGAACACCGCGGCACGCATAAATCAATGCATCGCCATCACCCCTGCAGGCGCTGCACGAGCTCGAGGCTCTCCTGCTTCAGGTCGGAGCCCTCGCGCCACGTGCGCAGCACGACGCCGCGCGGCAGCTTCTGGCGCGCAGCGGCCATGCGGGCGCGCCAGAGGACGCCGGGTGTGTTTTGCGCCTCCTCGGTTGGCGCCGCCGGCGCGGCGGCGGAGGAGGCAGACGGCGGCGGACGCGGGCCCAGCGCCGGCGGGTACGAGTCGCGGGCACTCGTGGCGGCGCTGAAGGCACGCGGCGGCGGCGCCAGCCCGTCGCCGATCCTGAGCGCCGCCTGCGACGCGACACGCGAGGCCACCAGCGCCCGCTGGGCGTCCCACTCGGCGGACGTCGACGAGACGTCGCGGATGTAGAGCGCCGCCACTGCAGCGTGTCAGCAGGGCGTGGAGTGCGGCAGCACGGCAGCGCGCACCTTGCTTCGGCCGCAGCGTGGCGATCTCAGTGTACACCTCGAGGTCCATCTCTCCGCTGTCGCCGCTGTGGAGGAGGTCTCAGCCTGGCTGCCTTCTCGTCTCTCGCCCCCCCTACTCACACGAGCAAGAAGGTGCTTTCAGGCCAGTCGTCCAGGATGCCGAGCAGCGCAGTGCGCTTGCGAGCAGCAGCCGGCTGCAGCCAGGAGGAGAGGAGCGACGAGGCCGACGCGGCGGGGTAGTGCTTCAGCACCAGGTGTCCGTGTCTGTTGCAGAATGCCTCAGCCTTTTGGACGACGACCATCGCGCGACGCCACAACTCACGGCAGCCCGGCATCGTGCAGATAGCCGCGCACGACGAGGTGCAGCTCCATCGGCGCGTTGGAGCAGTAGTGCACGGCGACGCCGGCGTCGGCGAGCGCGGCGTACCACTCGCGTGCGTGTGGGATCTGCACCTCGTGCGCTGGCGAAGGTGTCAGCGGAGGGCCAAATCACAGCAAGCATCGGCACGCACTTGGCCGCACGAATACATTCTTGAAGACCTGCCGCGCGCCGCCGAGGACGTGCGTGTGGCGCACCTGCGAGAGTGTCAGCCGCACGACGCCCCTCGCCGCGCATCACGCCTCACCGTGTCGTCCACATCCGAGATGAGGCGCACGCTCCTTGGCGCAGGGGCACTGCGGTCGATGTGCAGGTAGTGCCACGTGCCCTGCTCCGGCTGCTGGCCCTCGAGCAGCGGCATGAGCACGGCCCGGATCTTGACGCCTCTCAGCTCGTCGATGCTCGTGCGCCCCTCTCGCAGCGCCGCCGGCTGGGTGGCGCAGAAGCGCCGCAGCTGCGCCGTCGAGATGCCGAGGAACGTGTCGAGCATGCCGTGCTGGTCGCTCAGCACCTCGGAGCGCGCCAGGAGGCGCTGGGCGTCGGCCCAGGCATCCTGCTCGCCCTCGCGCGCCCAGCGCTCCTGCTGCTGGTCTGCGCCAAAGACGGCCACCACCTCGATCTGCACGCGGCGGTCCGGCTCGCGGTACGTCCAGAAGGCCTTGAGCCGGCGCTCGAGGTTCTCCGCCAGCGCATGCAGCTCCGCCAGCGGCCGGCCGTACCACGCCACGCTGCCGCCCAGACTGCCCATGCCGCCCGGCAGCGGTGCCGCGTCGGCGGCGTTGGGCGCCTGCAGGCCCGCGCCGTGGCCCTCGGTCGGCAGCACGCCGACGGCGCCGAGGATCTTTTCGAGGGCCACGTCGCCGCTGCCCTCGATCATCGACTCGGCCAGCACCTCGGGCAGGCCGGCGTGCGAGGGGTCGCCGTGCTGTGCATCGCCGTCGTGCTTCCCATGCTGCTGCTCCTGCTGCTGCTGCAGCGTCAGCTCGGTCCGTCCGCCGTGCGTCGACGAGGCGATGCCGTCGGGCACCGAGGGGAAGAAGTTGGCATCGTCTAGGGAGGAGTTTGATGCGAGCAGATGCGGCAGCGAGTATGTGGACGCCGAGCTGGAGCTGGTACCGCCTGTACTTGCGCTCGAGATACTGGCGCCCGAGTCGGCGCGCGAGGGCAGCCGCGGCAGGCCCGCCAGCTGGAGGCGCAAGAGTCAGCCAGTGCTCTAGGGCACGGCACATCTCCACTCACCTGCCGGCCCATGCGCTCCCACACGCGCTGCGCCGTCGAGCGGCGGCTCGGCCAGCGCTCGACGAAGCCGCGGACGGGCATGTAGAGGTGCGGCTCCTGCTCCCTGCCCGCCTCGGGCGGCGCGCGCCGCAGGCGAGCGTACGTCGGCAGCAGCACGGCGCGCTCGTGGCCCGGCGGCGGCGGCGGCGAGTCGGGGCGCCATGCCAGGCCAGCGCGGCGGCCGCTCTCCTGCGCCTCTGCGCGCGTCTGCTCGCCCGCGGCAGGCACGAGCGTGGACTGCCGCCGCATGGCGCCGCGTGCGCTGGTGGCGGCGCTGGACGCCGCCGACGCCGCACTGGAGGCCGCCGCCGTCGTGGCGGTGCGCACGGCGCCGGCGCGCGCGCGGAGGTGCAGCCCGGAGCGCGAGTCGCGCGCCTCGCGCGGCGGCACGCCCTCGCTGCTGGGCGACGCGGGCGCAGAGCCGAGAAAGGAGGCGCTGCGCGTGCCGAGCAGCGAGAGCGGGCGCGAGAGGGCGGGGCGTGCGGTGCGTGCAAACGACGGCCCGCCCGAGGTGACGGTGGCGGTGGCGCCGGCGGTGGACGCGGATGGCGCAGTCGACACGTCCGCAGCGCCTGCCGCCGCTGTCGACAATGCCGCCGCGCCTGCCGAGGGCCGCGGCGGCAGCAGGGGCGCTGCCCGGCGCTGGTCCGCCGCCGGTGCTCCCGATGCCGACGCCATGCTGCGTGCTGCCAGTGCGTGCGTACGAGCGACGCACACTGCACGCATGGGGTGCTCCACGGGCCAGACGTTAGACGCAGGTGACGGGCGCCTGTTGAGGAGAGGCGGATGCAGCGGCGGGTGTGGAGGAGAGAAGCAAGGCGCGAAGGGCGCAGGGGCGGCCAAGACGCGCGCGCTAGCCAAGCACACGGCGCGCATGGCGCAGGTGGCCCAAGCGCCGCCACGCAGCTTCTTCTCCACCATCACCGCCGCCGCTCATCATGGCCTCCTCCTCCGCCCCTGCCACTGCAGCAGCAGCACCGCCGCCCGCCGACGCGCCCATCGATGCGCTCCTCTTCGTTGCGCGCGAGTGCTTTGTGTACAAGGTGTGCGTGCGCCGCGAGAGCAGAGCGCCACGCGGCGCGCCACGCGGATCGGCGCCGACAGCAGCTGCCGGACTGGCGGACAGCCTCGCGGCGCCAGCTGAGGCGCCAGGCCCACGCACGCCGGCCGACGATGCAGAGCAGGCGACGCAGCTCTGCGGCATCACTGCTCTTCGTGTGGACTGCACAATGGTCGCGGGACAGCACGCGCTTCTCTGCAGAGCACGGAGCGTCTCTTCGTGCTAGCCAGCCCCACGCTGACACGCCTCACCAGGCCGCCACGCGCCTCGCTGGCCGGCTACAAGGCGGCCGAGTGGGGCGACATGGAGGTGCGCGCCACCTTTTGCCCCGTACTGCAGCACACGCTCACATGCCGCATCCAGGCATTTCTGTGGAAGGGCCGTCTGCGCATCGTCGAGCACGGCGCCGCGTGCAGCATCCGGCTCGAGGACGGCGACAGCGGTGCGCCTCGCCCCCCCTCCGCCCTGCGCACTCGACCGCGGCTGACGCATGCGGCACGCGCGCGCAGGCGAGCTCTTTGCGCGCGCGCCGTACGACGCAGACGGCACGGCCGTCGAGCCCGTGCTCGACTCGAGCCGCTACTTTGTGCTGCGTGTGCAGGGCGAGGATGGACGGCGCGCGTTTGTCGGCATGGGCGTGAGTAGCGAGGAGCCCTGGAGCGCCCCCGCCG